TTAGCAAGGTCCAAGTGGTTTTCACTGATCTTGACCGGAGTTAGTTAGTTCATGCTCAGAAATAAGCGGACCCGTATTTTTTCGTTTTCTAAAATGGACATGTTTTCGCCCGTGGTGGAATTTAAAAAATCCGCCAAAGTCAGGATTTTTAAAACGCTGTAACCTTTCGAATTTTAATCCGATTTCAAAAATTAAACACAATTTTTGCTCAGAATTACTACCCTGAAAATATAAAACCTACAGTGCAGACTTGATATAGCCCGAGTCAGGCCAAGTTGTGCTTATCACTCAATGCGACTTTTTGCATGAAATTTTATCGCAAATGCATATCAATAAATTAAAAAATTAAATTTGATTTTTCCAAATTAAATTCATATTCTTCTATTAGTAACAATTACCATCCTGTGTAACAAGTTTCAGCTTAGATCCGAAGATTACAAAAAAAAGTATGGGTTACCCAATAGGGTGTCTCTCTATGGGAAAATTGTACCTTTTTAATTAATATTCTTCTATTACCAACTTTTCTACCAAACTTCAGCTCGATTTGATGAATTTTAAAAATCGGTATGGGTCACCCCCTCGGGTCCCTCCAGACGAAAATTTTTGAAATTTTATTCCTTTGTATTCCTTCATTATAAACCATTAGCAACCTCTATGCCAAATTTCAGCTTTCTAACACAATTTTGAAATTTTGGTGCGTAATACCCCACCCACTCCGATGACCCCCACCGGTCAACCACTTGACCTATTTCACCCATCTTCGAACTCAACTCCTCATTTGACCCATACTATATGTGTGCAAAATTTCAAGTCGATAGGATTAGTTTTACGGCAGTTATCGCAAACCAGACAGACAGACAGACGGACAGACAGACGGACATGACGGGTACATAAGCCCTGACTCGGGATAAAAAATCAATTTAAAAAAAACTTTTAATTTTCAAAAAATTATCGTTTTTTGCTTCTTTAAAAATTAAGTTTATTTTAAATTCCGCCACGGCCGAAAACATGTCTATTCTGGAAAACTCCAAAATACGCTTATTTCTGAGCGTGAACAATTTAAAATTAGTCTTACAATGCATTGCAGCGAACTACAGTTGTAGTTTTTGCAGATATATAGTTTTTGGTAATGTGCATAAATAAATGGTTCGTGTTAAAATTTTGTAAAATAAAATTTTGACTTGTATGCATGTGTGTATTTGGTCTTGAAAATTTTTCCGCAGTACACAAATGTGTGTAGTTGGTCCCCAACGTAACGGGGAAATAGTACACAAATATGTGTACTTGGTCCTCTACGGAAAGAAAAAACCTACACAAATATGTGTAGTTGGTCCCCAACGTAACTACAAAGTAGTACACAAATGTGTGTACTTGGTCCTTAACGGAAAGCAAAAAAGTACACATATTTGTGTACTTGGTCCCCAAGGGAAAGCAAAAAAACTACACAAATATGTGTAGTTGGTCCCTAACGGGTTAACATGGAGAATCAACACACTAACTTCATTTAACAAAGCCAAAGTAAATTAACAAGTTTCCATTTTACAGGAACTTGTGCTTTTCCCCAAATTTACAACTCAAAGCAACGATGCACAAAAAAATATTTATTGCCTGGAACATGCAATAAGTAAATTAATATTAATAACTTTACGCAAAGTGATTGTGTAACGATGACGCTTGTTTTTTAACCATATTATCCATCAATCATTTAATTTATAATGCGATTCGTTTGACTAAACTTGAATAAAATACTTATACGGAGATCGTCTCGTGCGGTCTTCAATGAATTTTTACTGAATAAATTAAGCAGAACTCTTCAGTTTCGTTTAAATGAAACCTGGAAACAACTTGTTGGAGAAACTAAAAAAAATTAATTCATGCCCAACCACACTCCGCTCGGCCACCCGGTATGGCAAGAGATCAATTACTTCGATTCAGTGTGTAATTAGATGTCAAGATTTGTCCAATTTTCGTACAAAGTCACGCTCCATGTCCATTTATAAACTGCAGAATTCTACTTAAACTGAACCAGAAGAAAATCATCAAACCATTTGCTGAAGCTAGTACGGAATATTAATCGGCGTTTAGTTTGGACCGGAGTAATCATGTCGTTTCTCAATTTTTTTGGTGACACCAATTTCATCATCGTGCTACTGCTTGGCCTTAATCTGCAAGGTAGGGGTTGTACTAATTTTACACAAAATGAGGCCCGTTTTCTTCGCCCGATTAGAATAAAATGGCAAGAGTTATAATTGGAAAAACGGGCTTCATTTTTAAATCTGAAAATTTCCAAATTCTTATATAATTCACATACAGGGTAGTTTAAAGTTCAGGTTACAATATGAAATTTTTCAATTGGGAAAATTCGTAAATCTCCATTATTCATACAAATTTTGCCTCCGAGATTCAATATTAATAAAAATTAATAAAAATCTCAATCCCAAATCCGTAACTGATGGAAATTTACGAATTTTTCTATTGACAATTTTTCCATTGGAACCTGACATTTAAACCACCCTGTATTTAAAAATGAAGCCCCTTTTTATAGAAATCACATTGCTTGAAGTAAATTATGTAATCGTACTTTGTAAAATTTCAGCATCCACTGCCTACGACTGCAGTAATATTGACCACGACTTAATCCAGGTGTCATGCACTGGTTGGAATAACATTGTCCCGACGGTTTTCGCCGACTTTGGGTAGACAAGGCCAACGACATCAAGCAGTGTGTCTGCTATCGAGAACTGACCGCGGAGGAGGCTGCGATCCGTGCGGATTGCAAATGCGCGGGTTGGACCGCTGTTTGCGTGGATATGGGAGCCCAGCGTTCGTGTAACAATGTCATGGCTGCATGCAGTTTGAAATATAAATTACAGGTGTGCAAAAGTTTGAAGGTCAATTCCCTCTCCTTTGAATTATATGACAATGCTACCTGCTTTGTATTGAATACACTATTTAATGTGGTGATCCCCGTAATTGAAGGGGTTGATTCAATCATTGGTTAAAATTGGTTGTTGTTGGGGAAATTAACTAATTTAAAATGAACTTGATTGCTCGTCTGGTTTAATTGGTTTGGGATACATGTAATAAATTATATAAGCATGATGAAGGAGGGATGGGGGAATTATTTATTCATAAAGGCACTGCACATTGGCATGGTTGTAAATATGATATATATTTTCGCGAGCATGATTTGCGCTGGATGTCTTTTTATTAAGGGGTGGAAGCTATTTATAAGATCGTTATGTCCGTCCGTCCGACCGTTAGCTTAGTAACTTTTGAACGAAAGGACATAGATACTTGAGATTTTGAAGGTTAACTCCTAACGTCAAAAAGCAGGACGAGTTCGAAGATGGACACATTCCAATGAAAAGGTCATGAAATGTCGTTTAAAAGTCAAATTGCATAAATATATCAATTTGAACTGAAATGCAACCCTGAATTAAATGGTGACCTCCAGTTTGACGTCAGAGGTCATGAAAGGTCATACAAAGGCCATTAACTGTTAAATTATAGATATTTCACAACCGTTGAAAACACGTCACAAAGGCCAATTTTAACAGATTTTGAACGGGGAGAAACAATATGGTGTTCAGCTTGACGGGTAACACGCTGCTTTCATCCCTTGGTTACATTCGTTACAATGATCATGGTATCATATAGAGATAAACAGTTCCAATGTTAGTTATTCAGTATAGGACGGGGCTGGAATGATGTGATTGGCTGGTTCGCAGTTCAAATTTCTCCATGTATTTTTGCTGCCGCGTAAGTGAAGCCGTAGCACTCGCTCCGACCATCCGTCTCACTCTACCCTTTACCATCTCTCCTCACACTGTATATTTTACGTCCCAGAAAACAAAACAGTTTTTTGTGCTTCGGTCTGGACCACACCCACCCACCATCATCAATTAAAAGTAAGTTTAAGGACAAGATAGGTTAGAGTTTTACAACCATGCTAAGGATTTAATGTGACTTAATTTTTTTTACAGATTTTCGTCATCTCATGGAGAATTTTTGCGACTTTCTAAGTTCGAATAATTAATTAAAAACTGGAACTTGTTGTGATTCAGATTTAAAACCAAATTTATTGCAACAAATTATATTCATTCGGATGCGACTAAATTGATTTAGCATAAATACAACTTTACTAACTTTACGTTTAACAAGTATCTAAATAACAACTAATAACACATACTCCACAGCCGTGTTGTCACCACTGAAAGTGTGTATCCACCGGCAATATTGATAAAGAAATTGTTATCTAATGTGAATAAAACTTCCTTGTTGTTTATAGATTTAATAATACATCTTCACGAATAAAAACAACTTTGCCGTAATAACCAAACATCGAAATTATTTCCCGGTTGCAAAATATTTTATTACAAATAGTAGCAATAATTTTCGTGCCTTGAGTATATAAGGAAAATGGAAACAGTTGAATGTGGTTCTGGTTCTTCTACTTCAAACTGTAGTGAAACTTATTTCTAATCTTTATCTTCTTGTTCATATAAAGGATAAATTAACCCACCCCCCTTTCGGTGGAGACACAGACAATGGTGAAGACACAAATGGGTGGAGAGGTCGGTAAAACTCTTTGAGAAATTTCTTGAAGGTGGCTAAAAGTGTTTGCTGCAAACGACAGTTTTAGGCGATACGTTTTCCTTATCGATGCCGCGAATTTTACACCACTGCTGGAACCTTTAAAAAAACTAAAATTAGCTATCAGAGGAAAAAAGAATGAGAGAAATGAGTTATTTTGCATCGGAAGTTGTATCTGACGCTTTGGCAGAAAGGAGTAATTACGATTTTCTTGGTTTCAAGAATTATCACAATTAGTACCGCAACACTTTATATTTCGGACCGTGACAAACGACGGTTTATTAAATTCAAATAAATGTTTTGAGCAACTGGATTTCCTGCGAAAAATAACAAGCAATTAGTAATTTGAAACCTGCTTGAAACAAATAACGTGTTTTCATCATATTTATGTGTCTCCACCGTTAATTGTTTATTCTAAGAAGATTTTGAAGAAGGTTTTGATAAAGTCACACTGAATTTGAGTACATGAAGGCGAATCTGTAATTAAAATGAACGTGTTTCCACCATATACATGTGTGTGTCCGCCGTTCGTTGCTTTTTTAAATTTTTGGAGATAAGTCACTATTATTTTAATATTATGGTTGAACCTGGTAAACTTTACTGAAGTTCCTGAGAATTTCACACTATTCCCGAGTCACGAACAAGGTCTCATAGTAATTGATGAGTCTGTAATTAAACAAAATAACAAGGAAATATTGATGTAACAGTTGGTTGCAATAATGAACGTGTTTCCACCATATTAATGTGTCTCCACCGTTCATTATTCTTTTACTTCTAGAGGAAAGAAACTATTTTTAAGATCAAAATAAAATTTACCTTAAGCGAAGTTTTGAAAGTTTTTTAATAGTCTTGACAAAGTCACATTGATTTAAGTACCCTTGTTTGGCCAACTAGGTGAACCTGTAATAAAATTAATACATTTTAGTTATCGACTGCTCATTGGTAGCGAAAGAGTGGGTGTGAAGATATAATTTGAATTTGCTTTGTATAAACGCACACTGATAGATCAGATAAATTGACCGGTGGAGACACGGATCTGGTGGAGGAAGGGGCAATAGGTCACAATATTGAGTAACAATTGGCACAAATATTATATCTGCAATTCACAAAAATAAATTTAGTGGAACTTACTTTCCAACAATGAGAGTGTTTTCACCATACATGAATGTACATATATGTGTATTCACCGTTCATTATATGAGAAACTATTTTTGAATCTTGTAAAACTTTAACGAAGTTTCCGACAATTTCACACTGTTACCAGGTCACGACCAACAACTAATGGTAATTGATGAGTCTATACTTCAATAAAATATAGTGCATTACGAAATACAAGTTCCTTGGTCCTTATTGTTGCAGAATCCAGTTAAAGTTGTTATTTACCAGGTTGGTCGGCGATGACACAGATTTCTGGTGGGGGCACGGCAGAGAGGTCGCAAAATTTATGGATGAAAAATTGTCCTTAGCAGTTACCTACAGGTAACTGCTAAGGACAATTTTATTGATACAGGTATCAATAAATCGCAATAAATTAACATTCAAATCACTCGTAAAAATGAACGTGTCACCACCATATTTGTGTCCCCACCGTTCATTGTTGAAAGAAAATAGTGTACATGCCTGATGAAGATGACTGTGGGTCACTGAAAGCTAGCAATTTTTCAATAAATCAAGTATTATCCTCGAAAACCGCAGAGATGTCAACTAAAAATAGTAATTCTTTTACTACTTACCGAGAGTTGAAGCTTAGAGCTTAACTTGTGGTGAGTTGAAGCGATTTATGTAATTGAGTGGATGTCAGAAAATTAATTTATAGGATACTAAATAATCTTTTAATTACTCAGCTTTTCCGAGTTTGGCAGCAAGAATGATGGTAAAGGAGACACCTGATTTTGGTGCCAAGAAAGGAGTGAGATTTCCAAGTAATGGGGAAATTGAGATTGGGAAAAATTGAGTTGTGCCACGGCCCTGTTTTTATGGGCGGATGCCCATAAAAACCGTCAGCCAATCACAGCATTTGGAACCCCATTTCCCTATACTGAAACAATAACCATATCTTCATCCTTCTTTAAGTGATCTGTATTCGCTGCATTCGTTATAACCAGGGTTCGCCACCCCGGGTTTTTATGGGTTGGAGTTTTTGGGTTCTTGTGGGTTTTTGGGGTATCAAATCTCTGGAAAATCCTACTGCTTAATGGGGTTTTTGCGAGTTTTTGTGGGTTTTTGTGGGTTTTTCCGGGGTTTTTGTAAGATTTTAAGGCATATTGAAACAAAATCCCTTAAACATCAACTTAGATCAATGCTAATTAAAATGTCGGATTCATCATGAAGTTTTGAGAATTTTTATGTGTGACTTGAATTTCCAAGTATCATTGCATATTTCAAGGTTTACATGTTAAACATGAATTTTCGATTTAACAGTCCAAGTCAACGATAACGCTTAAAATTGCATGATAAATTCGTATATTAAATATTTTTTCCCAAATATATAATTTAAGAAATTTTGGTTCAACCTGCCCCAAAATTTCCAAAAACCCACAAAAACCCACAAAAACCTAAAAACCCACAAAAACCCCAAAAACCCCGGAAAAACCCATGGGGTTGGGTTTTTCTAGAAAAACCCCGGAGTTTTCCGAACCCTGGTTATAACGGTTTATCTTATCCCGCATACCTTTTCACATTATTATAGAAAATGTAGGATGAATTAACGAAGGCAGTTGAGTAACGTACATATGTATGTATAAAACGAGTAAATTTATGTATGTATTAGGGTTGCCGCGGGTAACGGGTCGGGTACCCGTTACCCGCATACCCGCACGATTTTTGCGGGTACCCGTTATCTACGGGTGGCGAGAACTACCCGGGTACCCGGTACGGGTAGTTCAGTTTTTATTTAATTTTGGCTATAAATTGTCTTACAACCGAAGTTAGAAATAAGCCCATCATGCCGTATGTTTACAGAAGTATTATTTCATTATTATTTATCCACTTCAAAATTTGTCATTTTAAAATAACAAGCGTTTATAGCGAGCGTGTCTTTTCGCAAGCCACAGAAGCCACAGAAGCTGCCTACGGCAGCCTCAAATATGTACTTTTTACGCCCGGCAAATGGGAGCACTTACATATTGTTTTTCAAGCATAATTTGCCTGATCTAAAATATCAGAACTAATTTGAGTTGTCATTGTGTGTATTTACGAAAAGCTGACGATGTTTTAATTTGTGGTGGTGAAAAATCTCAATCCGATTGAAGGCAAAAATTTTATGTCTAGACGATTTGGTTAAATGAAAACTTCATATAAATCAAAATTTCCAAAAATTAAACTAAGGAGGGGAGGTTGTGTACTCTCAACTCCCGGATCTCGACGCCCTTTGGGTATGTTGTAGTGTTCCATGAATATACACGAACCCTGAAGTGGTTTGATTCCATGGCCACATTTGCACCCGCCACACCCACTCAAAGGTGCCCAAAAATCGCTTTCACTCCAGCTTTCACTCATTCAAAACCACGCCAAAAATCCAATTTTACTCCGATTTTCAAATTTCTTTCACCATTATACTCCCAGATAGTTGTTCTCTCATATACAACATCAAACTCAACTTTTTTTGATTATTTCGCAGCCATAATTTACTTTGTTGATTACTACAATAATGTTCATTAAGAATTTTAAATTTAAAAACTACTAAAAATTTCATAAAGTTGAGTTTGAAGTTGGATATAAGAACACAACTATCTAGGAGTATAATAGTGAAAGAAATTTGAAAATCGGAGTAAAATTGGATTTTTGGCGTGGTTTTGAATGAGTGAAAGCTGGAGTGAAAGCGATTTTTGGGCACCTTTGAGTGGGTGTGGCGGGTGCAAATGTGGCCATGGAATCAAACCACTTCAGGGTTCTTGTACATTCATGGAACACTACAACATACCCAAAGGGCGTCGAGATCCGGGAGTTGAGAGTACACAACCTCCCCTCCTAAGTAACCAAAGTAAAACTAACTTTTCTTCAAGCTATACAAAGATTGTCTGGTGAGTTAGATGTATCAAACCGTCAGGCTAAAAATTAGGGATCATGTGATACTTATATTTCCGTTGACTGGCCACTTGAAGAAAAATATTGGCGATAGAGTTCAATTTTAAAGCAAAGGTTCTGCATCGTTTTCCCCCACTGGGCGAATACCATGAACATTGAACTCTCTCCCCCAAATCCTTTTCTTCAAACAGGTCATCAAACGGAAAGATAAGCGTTATGTAATTCCTAATTTTTGGATAGATTTTTTATATAACTCGCAAAGATATCCCGGTGTAGCTAGAAAAAATTCCATTAGAAGCCTAAAAGTTTAGTTTCAGAAACTACTAATGACATCGACACAGAAAATTATGGCATGCGTTACTTGCATATCATTATCTCAAAGTGCATATTTACTTATCAACCGAAATGAGCAAATAATTAATTAAATCAAACTTATTTTGATGGTTGGTTGGTTTTAACTTTATTTTCATAACGGGTAGCGGGTAACGGGTACCCGTGCGGGTACGGGTAGTTGTGCTGCGGGTAGCGCGTCGGGTAACCGGTAGCATTTTCGCTACCCGTGGCAACCCTAGTATGTATGCAGTCGTGCTTTTTAACGTTTTGCAAAAGCACGGTTACTATCAGTTTTTGAATTTTGTGTCATAATTGGATTGTGGGCCTGAACTTAAACTAGATATCTTTGGATCTAAAAGACCCGATAGAAAACTAACAATTCCTACAAATCCAATAATTAAGGATTTCATAAAATAATTTTCTTCCGATAAGTAATTCCTTGGCAATTAAATTTCACAGGACCCTGATTCCGATGCACATGCACATGTACATCACAATTTCAACATGTTTCAAAAATTTATAAATCAGATTATAAACCTCCGCTAAATGGGGTGCAAAATAAAAAATGCTGTTGTCCGAGTGCCATATAAGCACATAATGGGACGGAGCTTTCTTTTCTTTAATTTGTTCGAGTCCGCTGTCGATCTGACATAATAAATCGACACATTTTACGACAAGAGCAATCCAGAGGTCCACGCTGCGGATTACACGCCGCCGCGCCCCCATACGCCTGTAACATTGTGATCCCGCGCCGCGCCCCCACTCCGCCGTAAAATCTTCTAACATTGGCGCCGCCCCCGCCGTCAAATTCGTCGGCGTTGACCTCTGGTGCAATCTATCCATGTATGCAACTATATATGTAAGTCCAACCACTTTTGCGTACAAAATTTATGAGGGCGGTGATCAAGGGAACTTTTAGAGCTGTGCTGACATTCGGAAAGGTTAAATAAATAGATGGAAAAATTTAATAGTGATGAAATTATTAGGCAATAATTTCAACGTTTCTACATATCTTTTAATTGCGTCAAATTTTGTAAGGTACATATATTTATATGAAACGAATAGATTTGCGTGACATGAATCGAATAAAACACAATAAAACTCGCGAGCTGGCTTGGCTCGCGAGTTTGAACATAATTCTGGTAATTCTGGTAATTCTGGTACTTGAACATAATTCTGGTAGCATTTTCTACAGCAGGAATTGTGCACAGAGTTGTGTAACATAATAATTAATGCTTTTGTGCCGTTTCATTATTAAATTTATAATTATTTTCTAGATTGCAACACATTATGCTAATTTATATTAATTTTAAAATGTTTAAAACACAGTTACACCAATTTCTGCACCAAATCATTTCAACCAACACGATAAATATATAAAAAGTCTAAACATTTTTGGTTTTAAACTACATATGTAGCCTGATTTAATATGTAATACATATTTATTTGAGGAATACTCGAGCTAGCTCGGCTCGTTTATTATCGAGCCGAGCCGAGCCAACGAAATGCACAAATCGTGAATCGCACTATGTACATATGTGTTCATTTACCAAAATTATTTCGTGCCAGTAATCCCCTAATTCCAGAAGCCATGCATTGTACAGGGTGGTTAAAAGGTCACGCTACAATGGAAAATTTTTCGATGGGAAAAATTTGTAAATTTCCATTAGTTACCGAAATTTTGTCTCTAAAATTCAACATTTTAAGATGCGTCATCAGTTTTCCATCAGCTTTGATAATAATTATAAAAATCTCAATCCAAAATCTTGTAACTAATGGTGATTTAGGGATTTTTCCCATTGAAAAATTTTCCATTGTTGCGTGACATTTAAACCACCCTGTATAGTGATAAAATAGTGAATAACGTATGTACATATTTGCTTGGCACAAAGTGGCCAAATATTTTGACCAATAACTAATTTTCTTTATTTTTACAATTTTACCACTGTCAATAGATGTACCCATTCATGATGTGCAAAGGCTGGACTGTGATGCAATAAATCAATTAGTATTATCAGGACATATTATTTACTGTTCATCCAGTATTATTAGTCCCAAAAAAATCTGAAAGGTTACCTGGCAGGCAAAATCAACTTTTGTGAACAGAAATTTGTACACCATCCTCTTCCTTTTATTTTATGACAGTTTTGCTGCTATTTTGCCATTAACGAAATTATTTAAATAATACATATATGGCCAAATAACTTCTCAGAAAACTTGTCCGACTTTTGCGACTAATAATTATGGAGGAACAGTAGCTTTGAACAGAATGCTTATTCCTTCATCAGGTCATAACTATACAATCCGACGTATATTACATAAATTGTTCTTTATTTTTCAAAATTTTCTATTTCATATCTTTCACAACGGTAACAACCTCATTTACCCCGACATGCCAAATATTGCAGTAGCATGCCCAAATATTCCGCAATGCTGGCCCAATTTTTAATTTGGAACCTATTATCCGCCGTCTTTGACCGCGAAAATACCTCCTCCTTGCATTTCACCACTTTATACGCCAAACCTTGCAATTTCGCAATAGACTCGGGTGGCACGCCCTGGTCCACATTGATCACCACCTTGGTCAGCAAACCCATGGCGAATTGTGTGACCGAGGCGTAATTTGTAATTCCCGCGAAACATTCGGCCAACTGCGAGGGTGTAAATACCCCAGTTTCGTTTGCTTGCGCCAATATTTTATAACGTTTGAACGCCTTGGTGAAAACAGCGTTGAATCTGGCGGTCTTTGAAAGGTAGAAAAACCACAACCGGAAAAAATTATACTCCGCGTTGTGACCTTGGATTTCGTCTGCTAATGGTTTTTTCGTCTTTCGAGGCCCACGCCCCGCTTTCGCCTCCAGCTTGACTTCCTAAAAGATTTATTTATTATATTTTATTTCACCCCCCTTAAATTGTTTTTTAATTACAGGGTGGTTAAAATGCCACGCTACAATGGGAAAATCTTAAATTTCTAATAGTTACCGAAATTTTGTCTCTCTAAAACGCAACATTTTAAGAATTTCGTCACCAGTTTTGATAAAAATTATAAAAATCTCGATCCTAAATCTTGTAACTATATAATAGAGATTTAGGGGGTTTTCCCATAAAAAAATGTCCAGTGTAGCGTGACATTTTAACCACCCTGTACATATGTTGGAATAATTATATAGATTGTAGTAAAAAAAACTTCAAAATTTGCATACCTTACTCGCTCCATCTATAGAAGTCCATAGATTTTCACTGGTTGGAAACGTTGATGCATCGTAGGCTGTTAGGACAGCGCTGATTGTATTATTTACCCCAGTTGAGACAACTACGTCCATTTTTAGTGGGATTGAAAACAAATTTTTTTTAGGAATTTGTGTGGAGTTTTGGAATATGTATGTGGATTTCGGAGGTTTGAGTGAAGTGGCCAAGTAGGAATACATAATATGTTATCAAATAATTCTGATATGCATGTTGGCCACAGAGTTAAAAATGAGCAATGACTAATTGGGCGTTGGTCGGATTGATGGTGAAATGTTATATCTTTTGTCAGACAATCCATCGTGACTCTACATACTTTTGCTGATAAGGTTTATGTACAGGGTGGTTTAAATGTCATGCTACAATGGAAAGTTTGCTTGTACATACATATACCAAATGATGATTACGTCATAGAAAATCTTGATACTCATCCGAATCGAATAACTCGAATAATTCTATAACTCTTTTTGTATTCTGGACATTTGAAAAGTACTTCTTCACCTCTTTTTTAAACATAATTAGACTCATCCTTCCATGCTCATTTTTTAAATTTAATGGTAGATTAGACCATGACATTGCTGCCCTATATTTAAAGGACTTTTTGGCCATATTATTGCTAATTAAAATATCTGGCTTATAGTAAGTATTATTTCGAGTATTTCTATATATAACGGTGCTTATTGGTACATAATTGGCAAAATATTTGGGACAGCAGCCATTTAGCATTTTATACACACATTTACACAACTCAGCCTGCACCATATTTTCCGCTACTAACCATTCCAAGTCGACTGATAAGTCATCGGATATAGGGTCATATTTCCCTTTATTGCATACATATCTTGCACATTTTCTGATTACCTTATTTACACACTTTAAATTATTCTTATCAAATAGCCATACAGGAGATGCGTATAACAGACTAGAGAACACCAGTGCATGTATTAATAGTACCTTATTCTTGCGTTCCACGACATTTTTTAGGGGACCAAGTGACCAAAGAGAGCTGTTACAACTTTTTATTACCTTATCACATTGATTATTGAACTTAAGGTCTTCATCCAATAATACCCCCAATAATTTTGTACAAGTAACCCTTCTAATAGGTGTGTCGTTAATTTGTATAACAATATCTGATACAGCAGATTTTAATTTACGGGGGGCAAATACAATAAATTCACATGTATTTACGTTCAGTTCTTGCCTATTTGCTTCCATCCAACGCATACTCCTATCCAGATCATCATTCAGATTATTTACAACTTGTTCTATATGATCAATATCACCAGAAATTAACACACCACTGTCATCGGCAAACATAACACATAAACTGTTTTTTAAATGGTACGGCAGGTCGTTCATCATTATCAAAAACAGAATACAACTAATACATAACCCTTGAGAAAAAGAGTAGAAAGTTGGTTGAATATACATTTACCAAATAATTTAGTTAGTACAGGTTGGATTGCTATCGGTCTAAGCTCATTTGGCGATACTGGATTTTTTACCTTTGGTATTGGAATCACCTTAGCTAGTTTAAGCATATTCGGGACGCTTTCCTCATTAATATACATGTTAAATAAGTTCATGATAATAATTCTAAATTTAGGAGATGTCATACACATATTCATCATTTTGTTGCACAATCCGGTCGTGTCGAGGGATGTCGATCCTTTGTTTTTTGTGCCTTTCCACGCCTTCAGAATGTCTTGTGTGGATAATTCCCAGAATTTAAAAGAAAGGTCGAGGTCGTCCCAGAGTAGTGCGGGTTTTGTAGGTAGTGGTGGCAGTGTTTGGGCGTGGTCCCTTGTCGAGATGTTCACGAAAAAAGAATTTACGGTGTCAGGTTCCAAGTTAATTTCAGCTGCAGGGCTTAGTAGAGGGTATATTTTTTCTAGAGCTCCCCAGAAGTGAAGCTTCTCCACTTTCTTATTAAATTCATGTTTGGTGTCCTCCAGAATATTTCTTTTAACGAGTGACTTGTAGTTCTTAAATGATTGGATATTAGCTGGTGATGGGTCACGAGGACATGCCTTGTACGCCTTGTCTCGCTGCTTAATAATCTGTCGTGTTTTGCACGATACAAACTTTTTATGTTGATGCACATAATAAGTAACACGATAAATATATAAAAAGTCTAAACATTTTTGGTTTTAAACTACATATGTAGCCTAATTTAATATGTAATACATATTTATTTGAGGAATACTCGAGCTAGCTCGGCTCGGCTCGACAAAATTCGAGCCGAGCCGAGCCAATAATTCAGCTCGGCTCGTTTATTATCGAGCCGAGCCGAGCCAACGAAATGCACAAATCGTGAATCGCACTATGTACATATGTGTTCATTTACCAAAATTATTTCGTGCCAGTAATCCCCTAATTCCAGAAGCCATGCATTGTACAGGGTGGTTAAAAGGTCACGCTACAATGGAAAATTTTTCGATGGAGAAAAATCCTAAATTTCCCTTAGTTACCGAAATTATGTCTCTAAAATTCAATTTCAAGAATTTCGTCATCAGTGTTCCATTAGTTTTTAATAATTTTATAAAAATCTCAACCAAACATTTTCCATTGTAGCATGACATTTAAACCACCCTGTACATAAACCTTATCAGCAAAAGTATGTAGAGTCACGATGGATTGTCTGACAAAAGATATGGCATTTCACCATCAATCCGACCAACGCCCAATTAGTCATTGCTCATTTTTAACTCTGTGGCCAACATGCATATCAGAATTATTTGATAACATATTATGTATTCCTACTTGGCCACTTCACTCAAACCTCCGAAATCCACATACATATTCCAAAACTCCACACAAATTCCTAAAAAAAATTTGTTTTCAATCCCACTAAAAATGGACGTAGTTGTCTCAACTGGGGTAAATAATACAATCAGCGCTGTCCTAACAGCCTACGATGCATCAACGTTTCCAACCAGTGAAAATCTATGGACTTCTATAGATGGAGCGAGTAAGGTATGCAAATTTTGAAGTTTTTTTTACTACAATCTATATAATTATTCCAACATATGTACAGGGTGGTTAAAATGTCACGCTACACTGGACATTTTTTTATGGGAAAACCCCCTAAATCTCTATTATATAGTTACAAGATTTAGGATCGAGATTTTTATAATTTTTATCAAAACTGGTGACGAAATTCTTAAAATGTTGCGTTTTAGAGAGACAAAATTTCGGTAACTATTAGAAATTTAAGATTTTCCCATTGTAGCGTGGCATTTTAACCACCCTGTAATTAAAAAACAATTTAAGGGGGGTGAAATAAAATATAATAAATAAATCTTTTAGGAAGTCAAGCTGGAGGCGAAAGCGGGGCGTGGGCCTCGAAAGACGAAAAAACCATTAGCAGACGAAATCCAAGGTCACAACAAGGAGTATAATTTTTTCCGGTTGTGGTTTTTCTACCTTTCAAAGACCGCCAGATTCAACGCTGTTTTCACCAAGGCGTTCAAACGTTATAAAATATTGGCGCAAGCAAACGAAACTGGGGTATTTACACCCTCGCAGTTGGCCGAATGTTTCGCGGGAATTACAAATTACGCCTCGGTCACACAATTCGCCATGGGTTTGCTGACCAAGGTGGTGATCAATGTGGACCAGGGCGTGCCACCCGAGTCTATTGCGAAATTGCAAGGTTTGGCGTATAAAGTGGTGAAATGCAAGGAGGAGGTATTTTCGCGGTCAAAGACGGCGGATAATAGGTTCCAAATTAAAAATTGGGCCAGCATTGCGGAATATTTGGGCATGCTACTGCAATATTTGGCATGTCGGGGTAAATGAGGTTGTTACCGTTGTGAAAGATATGAAATAGAAAATTTTGAAAAATAAAGAACAATTTATGTAATATACGTCGGATTGTATAGTTATGACCTGATGAAGGAATAAGCATTCTGTTCAAAGCTACTGTTCCTCCATAATTATTAGTCGCAAAAGTCGGACAAGTTTTCTGAGAAGTTATTTGGCCATATATGTATTATTTAAATAATTTCGTTAATGGCAAAATAGCAGCAAAACTGTCATAAAATAAAAGGAAGAGGATGGTGTACAAATTTCTGTTCACAAAAGTTGATTTTGCCTGCCAGGTAACCTTTCAGATTTTTTTGGGACTAATAATACTGGATGAACAGTAAATAATATGTCCTGATAATACTAATTGATTTATTGCATCACAGTCCAGCCTTTGCACATCATGAATGGGTACATCTATTGACAGTGGTAAAATTGTAAAAATAAAGAAAATTAGTTATTGGTCAAAATATTTGGCCACTTTGTGCCAAGCAAATATGTACATACGTTATTCACTATTTTATCACTATACAGGGTGGTTTAAATGTCACGCAACAATGGAAAATTTTTCAATGGGAAAAATCCCTAAATCACCATTAGTTACAAGATTTTGGATTGAGATTTTTATAATTATTATCAAAGCTGATGGAAAACTGATGACGCATCTTAAAATGTTGAATTTTAGAGACAAAATTTCGGTAACTAATGGAAATTTACAAATTTTTCCCATCGAAAAATTTTCCATTGTAGCGTGACATTTTAACCACCCTGTATATCGCGTAGAAAAGGGCAATATAAAATTGCATATTAGTTAAACCTAAATTGAAATGGATTAAAATTAGGAATCAATGGATAAATTAGTGATTGTCGTTCAGATTTTAATAACATGTCCTTATAATCCATGCATTCTTCTTCAAATTTAAAAATGTCTTGGATCGTTATCCGGACTCTTATCTCTGGCCAAGAGATTTAAGGATGAAATACATACTTGACCATATCGCAGACTTTCGGGTTTTGTAGAGTAATGAATAAACCAGAAATGGATCACCACAGCTATTTCTCCACATTAGTCTACCAATAAAAGTATTAATTTATTAAACTCTACATAATTACATACAAACATATGTACCTGTTCAAAAATTCAGTTTTCATTCAAAATTCAGTCATCCCAATATCTTACTGAAGATGTTCATTCACAATCAGTCATTTTCGTTCAAACTCATTTCATTTCACTTCATCCGACTTCATTTCTTACTTCGCCCCATGTATTAAGCATAGGGTGGAAAATGAATGAAGTGAGAAATCCTTTCATTCACAGTCATTCATCAGAAATGACGGAATCCATCAGTCATTTTCATTCAAATGACAGGAATTTCATTTTCATTCACTATCATTCGCCATCATAATCAGTCAAATGAATGAAAGTGAACGGGTATGCATACAAATGCAAACCATTTCTAACAATTTTTGAAGAATTTAAAGAATGTAGCCATACACAAACTAGTCTACTAGATAATTTGATTTATTTTTTCGTTAAATTGCAGACATAGGACAGTTCTATGCAATTTAGTATTTATTAATTTGCGATATCAGTATAAATACACGTTAGTGGCAACCTCGTTAATATTGTCTTCCTAATTTTGCATATGTGGAGTGTGTTCGTTTACATTACAAATTACGATTTTATCAACTTGATAAAAAAGATAAGGTAATGCTTAAACATTGGGAACGTTTCCCTAACCCAGATCTGACACTAACCTATCATACATTAGAGTATACTCTTGTCAATAATTTCGTACATATAAAATCGGGTCACGAGTCGCTTTCCCAACACTTAAGATTAATAAGCATCATCTGACAAGATAATTTCAATTTAATAAATGTTAAAACCTTGACTCAAAATATTTTACTAATTAATCAGCTCTTAACGTGTAAAGAGGACAAAATAATTATTAATTTTAGTAAAGGAAGAAATAAAAACTATTTAATAATAAAATGGATGAGTTTTGTGGATCACTTTTTTGGGTAAAATTGTAAATACAGGGTGGTTTAAATGTCAGGTTACAATGGAAAATTTTTCAATGGGAAAAAATTCGTAAATTTCCATTATTTACGGATTTGGGATTGAGATTTTTATTAATTTTTATCAAAACTCATGCAACACTGATGACAAAATTCTTAAAATTTTGTATTTCATAAGCAAAATTTCGCTAACTAGTGGTGATTTGCGAATTTTTCCCGTTGAAAAACTTTCCATTGTAATCTGACATTTTAACGACTCTGTAATTTTTATTTTTTATTTAAACAAAATTTTTAACTTGAATTTAATTATTTTTTCCCAGGATCGAAACCTCACCTGGGACACGACCGACCCCTATTTCACACCTTGCTTCGAAAACACTGTTCTCACCTGGCTCCCTGCAGCCTTCCTCGTTTCATTTGCCTTCTTCGATATAAACTTCTCCTTAAATTCCAGGAAAAGGGAGGGCCTGCCCTGGAACCCGATTAACATTGGGAGATCCTTATTAAGCATAGGTCTCCTCGTGGTGGGGGTGGTTCACTTAATTTTATTACAACAATATGAGGAAACGAGTAAAGTTGAAAATGTGGCTGTGATTGTGAGATTAGTTTCTTATGTGAGTAGATAATTACAAATATTTCTTCATGGGTGAGAATCAATTCTAATTTGAGTATTTTTTGCATTTTTAGATTTTAGCACTATTTCTCTTAATTTTGGGCAAATTGAAAGGGATTCGGGCATCCGGGACTCAGTTCCTATTTTGGTTATTAGTAACACTTACTGAGGGGATTTTATTTAGAACGGCAATAAGAAAATATGATGATACCGTGGAAGAGGTGAGTAATTGAAGGTTATTCTACGCAGAATGGAAGTCTCCCAACGTATGCTCACAGATTTGGACCAAACTAGCGTCAATCGATCACAAATTTAATTAGTATGAAATTGGCAAATGGAACTATCTGCCAGTGCGCAGGTTTAGCGGAGACATTTGCATAAAAAGAGGAGAAAACGCACAAACAAGGCTGGCAAGTTTTTGATTTCCCAAATTTGTTGCACATTTTCTCCTCTTTTTATGAAAATATTTCCGCAAAACCTGCACATTGGGTGATAGTTCCATATGCTAATTTCATGCTAACTAAATTTGTGATTAATTGACGCTAGTTTGGTCTAAATCTGTGAGCATACGTTGGGAGACCTCCATTGTAAGATTTGTTCATGTCCATGTGACTTTATATTGTGAAATAATTAATAATCCTCACTTGAAACGTTGGGTGCATTACATTTCCTTGTACGTTCACAGTCAATGCAACGTCACGTATTCCTCATGCGGTTTGTTATCTTCCCATTGTGTGCGGGACAGCTGATCCTCCACTGGTTTGCCGACAGAGATAAGGCCACTTGTTGAGTTGGGAAAAAGAGTCGCATGCCGTTTGAAGTGAGTAAAAGGAAAAACGTTTAAAATGTTGTCATCATTCATTAAATGAGATATTAATGTAAATTAAATGTATGCATATTAGAAGAAAAAACTACCATTAAATTTGATTTTTTAGACGCCATGCCCTGAAAAAGAATCATCTTTCATTTCTAAAATAACTTATTCTTGGTTCGATTCGATCGCCTGGACGGGATACAAAAGACCTTTGAACTTTGAAGATTTGTGGGATTTGAACAAAGATGACAGAGCGGATGAGCAAGTTCCAATTTTTATGAAGTATTGGGATGCTGCTGTTGAAAGAGCAAAGGCGTAAGATTTTAGTCGATTTTAAAATGATCTATAATACTAATTGTCCAAAGAAGTGTGTGCGTCTGCACGTTTTTAAATTTGACGCCAGATTATACCTTGCCCCATAAATTTGGGCCACCTGCCGACATTTTATCAAGTAATGTCTCATTCAGTGCCAAATTTACATTAAAGGCCGTCCATAAATTACGTAACGGGAGAGGGGGGAAGATCTGATGCTTCAATAATATCGTTCCTATGTTGCAAAAGTTTTAGGGGGAGGAGGTGGGGTCTAGAAAATTGCGAGTTTTGCGTTACATAATTTATGGACAGCGCCTGAGTCCCTATTTGACCCGAATATATTAAAATACCCGCAAAACACACCTATCCGCACTATTGCTGCTTTCCGTCATGATAATGCGTATTGGCCTTCAAACTGTCAAAACTTTATGCTCTCATATTCGTAGCTCGGCTAGACGGGCTAACTTACTAGTAAGAAATTTAATTTTGTCCTATTTTAAATTTAGAAACAGCGCCAAAACTGGAAAAGCAATACAAGTCTCAATTGTCTCAATCTTGTTCAAATGTTACTGGAAAACGTTATGCGTGGCAGGACTCATGAAACTCTTACAAGACTTGTTACCCTTCATCTCACCCGAATTAATGAAGTAAATGCAAACAGAATAGTGCATAATTTGTGAAATACGTAAATTTATACTACTGTTCAGTTCATGTTAATAGTCTTTGGAAATATTTCTGAGAGGTTATTTGGTTTTTTGAAAGTAATATCAATCATTTGCCAGGAAACCTCTCAGATTTTTCTCAGACTATTAGATAATATCGGCTGAATTGTAGTTTTTAACATATAATAACATACAATTTACAATAATTACAATAATACAATAATTTAACATACAATTTTCCACAGATTTCTTGTCGCCCACGTCGCCCCTCAAAGCACCGAAGAATCCTGGAAAGGCTACCTCTACTCCGGCCTTCTCATCTTGTGCTCCATCCTGCAAACGATTTTCGGCGTGCAACACATGAAACGCATGATGCTTCTGGGCATGCGCATCCGTACCGTGCTATCGTCCGCCATCTACCGGAAATCTCTAATCATAACTTCCGCCTCTAAAAGGGATACCACCGCCGGTGAAATTGTTAACTTAATGAGTGTCAACACCCAGCGACTGCTAGACTTGGCGGGCTTCTTCTTCATGGCGCTGACCGCGCCGATTCAAATTGGGTTATCAATTTACTTCCTTTACAACACGTTGGGCGCGTCAGTATTCGCCGGTTTGGCGGTAATGATCCTGCTAATTCCGTACACGGGATTTACTCAATCCCGCGTGAGAAACTTGCAAATGAAACAAATGCTCATTAAGGATCAAAGGGTTAAACTAATTAACGAAATTTTGGCTGGTATGAAAGTGTTAAAACTTTACGGGTGGGAGCAGTCTTATGCGGATCAAATAACGAAGTTGCGGGATCGCGAAATGATGCTGTTGAGGCGCGCGGCGCTGTACGGAACGAGTACGATGTTCTCCTTTACGTGCGCCCCGTTTTTAGTTTCGCTTTCAACTTTCGCGGTTTACGTGTTGACGGATGAAACGCATAATTTGAATGCGGAGAAAACGTTTGTTTCGCTAAGTTTGTTTAATATTTTGCGCATGCCGATGACCATGTTGCCAGCGGTGATTGCGATCATGATTCAAGCGATGGTTAGTGTGGAGAGGATTAATCGGTTTTTGAATGCAGAGGAGCTTGAGAAGAATTCTGTGATGAAGGAGAAGAATGACGGTTAGTTGGTTAAGGGTGGATTGTATGCGGGTTTTGAGTGGGAATTGGCGTGTTTCAGCTTTATCTTGATTAATATGTCCAGATGTAGATTTTGAAGCGTATTCGACTCCTGGGTTGTTTATGATATGAACATTTTAGTGTACCTAAAAATCGATAAGTTTCAGGTTTAGAAAGTTAGGAGTCTAGAATTTTGATTTTTTTCTTCCATGACGAAATAAATATGAAATAGATGAAAAATAATCGGTAGTAACTAAATATTTTCTCATTGGGGAAAAAAATCAGAATTGTAGACTCCTAACTTTATAAACCCAACAATTATTGATTTTTAGGTGCATTAAAATCTTCATATTGGTAAAAACCCACGGAGATGAATAAGTTTCAAAATCGTCATTTAAATAAATGGAAGAAGAGTAAGTTGAGACACAATAATTCAAACTCAAAACCCGCATACAAGTGCGCGCTAAATTGTTAGAGCATTTCTTTTAGTTGGAAATGGATTGATTAATTTGGTAAATAATTTTTAGTTGAACCAGTTGTGATTAAAGATGCCTCATTTTCATGGACCGATGAAAGTGTGACTTTGGCCGATATCAATTTTAGCGTTAAGAAAGGATCGTTGACGGCTGTCGGTTAGTTCATTTGATAGAATTTTTGGTAGTTTATTATTAAAATGTTCTTTAATTTTTAGTTGGAACGGTGGGCTCTGGAAAAACGTCTTTGCTCTCAGCCCTTCTTGGAGATTTAAAGAAACACAAGGGAACAGTAAATATTGACGGCTCAATTTCCTACGTAGCACAAACGGCTTGGATTCAAAACGCAAGTTTAAGAGAAAACGTCCTTTTCAAAGATGGTTTCCAAGAGGGGAAATATAAAAGTGTGATTGACGCCTGTGCCCTGGGTCCTGATCTAGAATTATTGGAAAATGGAGACCAAACTGAGATTGGGGAGAAGGGAATTAATTTAAGTGGTGGCCAAAAAGTAAGTGTACCTTAATTTTTAAATTTCCAATTTATAATTGATATTTTAATTGAAATTTTTAATTGAAAGTTAGCATTGATGAGTCATTCCCCCGCGTCTCATTCCGCCCCATGTTTCCTTATGGAGAAATTAAAATTAACTCTTCGCCGTTAATATTCAATGAAATTTAAATGTTATTACTTTAAAATATTCTATGTTTAACTTAACAAGCCTGTAGATGGTATTTTTGGGAAGATATTCCTTACTAAATAGTTTATTTCCCCTCACAGGAAGGAAATTTTTTTCCTAAAATCTAATCTACAATTTTGTTAAGTTAAAAATATAGAATAATTTAGTATTAAAGTATTAACATTTAAATTTCATTGAATATTAATACCGAAAAGTTAATTTTAAGTTCTCAATAAGGAAACATGACACATGGGGCGAGAATAAGACGCGCGGGAATGACTCACCGAAGCTAATATTTTAATTTTTAGCAACGCGTTTCCCTTGCCCGGGCAGCCTATAAAGAGAGCGACATCTATCTCTGGGATGATCCCCTTTCCGCGGTCGATGCTCACGTGGGAAAACACATCTTCGACAAACTCATCGGACCACAAGGCCTCCTTAGCTCGAAAACTCGAATCCTTGTAACTCACTAGGTCTCCTTCCTCCCAAAAGTGGACAACATCGTCGTCCTAAAAGATGGCAGGGTCAGCGAATCCGGAACATTTCAACAACTCCTAAAAAATCGCGGAAGTTTCGCCGAATTCCTAGCGCAACACTTGGACATCGGTGAAGGGGAAGAAATTGACGAAAGTTTTGTCGAAGAAATCGGAGAAATCGTTGGCATGGAAACATTACGACGAAACAGTTCGAAGGTCGACGCCCTAAAAAGAAGATCCACCCAGGAAAGTATTCGAAGTAGAAAGAAAGGAAATTTAGTAAAATTGGAGGATGAAAAACCGAAATTGATCCAGGCTGAAATCACGGCCGAGGGGAATATTCAGGGCGGGATAATTTTTGAATATTTCAAACAAGGCGGGTTCCTAATCTTCATGGTAGGGATTATGTTCAGTATCACGTCCAACGCAGCGTCGACGTATGCCAACATCTGGTTGTCGCAATGGTCGAAGCAAGCCACGATCGATGAAATGGAGAGAAATGGAACGAACGATAGAGAAACGACGGACAAATATTTAGGCGTGTATGGGGGCCTACGAGCCGCGCAAGCGGTTACGGTTCTCTTTGGAGCGGCAAGTATCGCCATGGCAACGTTGAATGCGGCGGAGAAGCTGCATTTTGGGATGTTGAGAAAGGTTGTACGAGCACCGATGTGGTTCTTTGATACCACGCCGTTGGGCAGATTGATAAATAAGTTTAGTAAACATGTGGACACGGTGGATATCGTTTTACCCCAGAACTTGAGAGGGGGAAGTACGATTTTGTTTAATACGCTGAGTGCGATTGTGAGTATTGCGTACAGCACGCCGTTGTTTTTGACGTTTATTGCGCCGGTTGCGATCTTCTATTTTTTTCTACAGGTGAGTAACATTTTTAATCAATTTCGACAAAAATTTTGCAAAATTTGAGATTTGGGTTAATTTTTGCAGAGATTTTACGTTGCCACATCTCGCCAACTCAAACGAATGGAATCCGTTTCAAGATCTCCAATTTATTCCATTCCGTTTTTACGTACATACATACGTAAAAACATACATACACACATACATACATATATTTACATATTTACATATTTATACGATAAATATTAATACAAATTTTGTAAAAAATTATGGAAAATGCTCAAATAACATACCATAAAGTGTATGCAAATAATTTTTGATATGCACTACATACACTCTTAGCAAGCCTGTTAAAAATCTTCTGAGGAGACTCTAACCAGTTGGTATTAAGCATCATTACCGCTGAGTAATGGAATGGTAATAAAAAGTTTCATACATAGTGAGTAAGGAACCAGTCAACACATTGACAAATTATTACCACCTGGGTACCGCAGTGGAGTACATATTCACATATATGTAAACACAACGCTAATACTTAGTGGGGGCAGGCTAAGTGTTAATAGAATGAAACGCCATAGCTTTAAAACTTTTTGTGCTACAAATTTCTAGTTAATTTTATTGGAAAGCCAGCTAATTTTTGAGTAGAAAACAATTTTTAGTTTTCGAAATTTCTTCTCTCAGCATTAATGCAGCGCTGAAGAAGCCGCCTGCAGTCCTTTGCTGCAGCACGCACTGAATTCTTGGACAAAGTGTTCCATTCCGTGCTCATCTAATTTTTTCGGACCTCTACACTTCTATTAGACTTATAACACACGTTTGCCCCAAACTTTGACCAGTTTTCATAATCTGGAGATTCAAATCCAGAAAGTAGAATTACCATTTCCAAGTGGAGGTAAAATTCAGAATTTTGTTTTTTACCCACGCTTGGGTCATTTTTTGCACTATAAGCTGATTCTTAGTCCTACCGCAAGGTCCAGTCGACTTCAATGAATTGGATCTCACTTAGGGGATGTACCACGGACTCGAAAACGTATTTTAAGAAATTTGATCCCCTCACCTTCCCTCCATTTTCAACAAAATGTAGAGGAATTACCCCAATTAGCTCACACCTGCCAAAATCATAACAAAACCTGGATAATGTGGCTTTTGGACCTTTTGTCTGTATTGGGGGATGTCATTGACCGATTTTGCGTAGATTAGGCCAACTCGTTTGTTAAAGTATTTTCCCGATGTAAAAATATCCTCATCTGTAAAAAAAATCCTCTTCACTTTTTTGGCGCGTACCGCTTGAGGAGAGCCCTTCATTTCTTTAGTAGGGCTTTCTTTCTGGGTATCATCAAGCGGTGGCAAGTACCATATTTCAAAGCCTTAAGTCTAAGGTTCAGTTTGAGTACTCATTGGACAATCTGCGTCAACAATGTCATCCGTGAGGCTATTTTCCGTTGGAATTTTGAGAATTTCTTCGGATTCTGTCCTTCAGCGCCTTCACGATGGGTGTGGTCCTTGTAGGTTTTCCAAAAAAAAAATTCGACTGTTCTTAGTCGATCCGGTCCCCATGAACGTTTTTACAGTCCGCTGGATTAACTTAAAGTGCACATTCGATTCCTGTCAAACTTCTCAAATTCGCTATTTCTTTTTCCATTTTTTAGTGGAAAATTATTACCACCCGCTTCCTTTCAGTATTTTCCCTGCTAGTATTCTTTTCAAGTTGTTAAAAACTCATGTGAGTTATTTATGTAAAATTGCACGAGGAATTCAATGCGTTGATCAGATTTTCCTTATCTCCAGCGGTTTTAAAGTTATTAGCTATTAACACTTAGCCTGCCCCCACTAAGTACAGATAATAATGTGGATATGCCATTCCTGCCATTTCGGTACCTTTCACACAAAAATTCTGGAAATATTTAAACCTGCATAGTCCGCACATGTCGGAGCTACATACATACAAATGAGCTATAAATTTGATACCACTCATTTCTTGCATACCTGACTGCCAACATGATTAACATGACGTCTATACATATGTACACATGTGTACATAAATGTCTTAATTAATTGTCATTTCTCAGGTGGCTTAATAAATTGCCATTATACTTAATTAGAAAATTGGTTTAGGTATGTTTTACATAAACAGGATTTGTAGTTGTCCTTGATGCGATATGTATTTGACTTGATCGTTGTCGTGTATCTATGTAAATTAACATTTGCATGCTAATTTATCAATGTATGAATTAATTACATAATTTCATTAAGCATGATTTACTCAATCCTCCCTGGTTTGCATACCAATGAGTCCGATGCCAAAGTACCAAAAAATCCGGTGTAAACTGCTAGTTTAGACCGAAGTCATGTACATAAACAGTTCGTGTATCTGTGCATATGTACATATATGTGAATGTACAACTGTGTTCCTATATACCACTCAAACTAGGCGTGACTGACGAAGTATAAAAACCCAGTCTCACTTTTCATTTTTAGGAAACACGTTGATAGCAACATACATCTGTGAAGACCAGCCCAGTCACATGAAGTAAAACATTAATTTAAAGTTTAATTTAATAACGTTGACAGGATAAATACGTACTTCACCTGAATATGTATTCAAATACTCCAAGTTTGTACCCTGTGTATCGTTTAATCCTACGCACTTTTGACATGAGTCGAATATTAACCCGATTTCAAATGCTAAAAACAATTTCTGCTCAATTTTTTGCAGAATCGGTTCCCTAAAATTATGAAAATTCATTTTAGAAGCTACAAAATGTTTTGTTTTCATGCCATTTCCGAATTTTTAAAAATGCTAAAAACTGCTACATGCTAAAATGTTTTTTTAATTAAAGGATTTTAAAAAATGAATTTTTATAATTTTAGGGAAATAATTCTGAGCAAAAATTGGGTTTAATTGGGCACTTCAAATGCATATTTTTCGTTAGAAAAAAATTGACAAAACTATTTAGGTGCACGAACGGTAGAGGAGCGTTGTCTATTCGTAGTCATCCTGATTTGGAAGAATACAACTCTATTGTATTCACCACACTTAAATATACACCAAATAAACAAAACTTGTCCTTTAGATGGCGCACAACCGAAGATATTCCAAGGTCGAGGTGGAAGCAGCGTTCAAGGCTATGCCGACCTTTTGTGGCGACATGACTGACCTGAGTGACGTGCCCGTACTCTTGAAGAGATTGGACTTTTCCTGCACGGAGGGCCAGATGGTGGGATATCTCACCTTTTTGAGGGACTGTCACGATGGAAAAGTTCCCCTGGAGGTGGGGATTGCTTCCTTGGGAGTTGTGGATGATGCCAGGGAAGTCATGCGGGTCCATATCCACGCCCTGGACAAGGACAGGGATGGCTTCGTGGATGAGTTCGAGTTCAAGGCGACGGTCCAACTCTGCCTTCTTCATGACCCGTCCTTGGCAAAGGTGGACTTTAACAAGTTTGTCCAGGAAGCGGATACAGATAAGGATGGCAAAGTGAGCATTGCCGATGCAACCGAGTGGTTTTGTGAACACGGGCAAAATTAAAGAAGTTCAGATACAGGTATTTGTATTTCACGTTTAAGTATTTATGTACCGTAAATACTCTACTTATAGCCGGGTCTTGAGCCAAAGTTTGAAAAATTTAATAAGCTCATCCATTATTATGATGTTTGTTTAATGCCTGTTCTTAGATGCTTCAAGTTATGCAAAACCGGAAAAAAATTATCCGGGACTCCAATTATACCCGGGTTTGTCTTGTCATTAGACCCGGCTATAAATAGAGTATTTACGGTAATCTGTACATAGCATGTTCATTTGGTTCTTAATAAACCGTTACAACGCATGTAACCAAGGGGTGAAAGGAGTGTCATACGTCAATGTGAATATCAAATTGTTCGAAAATTTGTTAAGATTGACACTTCTGACGTGTTTTCGACTTTTGTGTCTTATTTGTGCCAAATTTAACAGTTGATAACCCTTATGTGACCTTTATATGACCTCTGAGGTCAAAATGGAGGTCACCATTGAATTCGGGGTTAAATTTCTGTTGAAATTGAAATAGATATCTCCTATGACCTTTACATGACCTCTGAGGTCAAAATGGAGGTCACCATTGAATTTGACATTGAAAAATAGTTAAAAATGACGTGTCACATGTCAAAACTGACAAGTGACACTTTTTCGTCACTTTTCGTCACCATGACGATGTCATCGTCACAGGTGACGTCCAAACACAAAATGACATGAATTTTCGAATTCCTCATTGAAAAATAGTTAAAAATGATGTGTCACATGTCAAAACTGACAAGTGACACTTTTTCGTCACTTTTCGTCACCGTGACGATGTCATCGTCACAGGTGACGTCCAAACACAAAATGACATGAATTTTCGAATTCCTAATTGAAAAATAGTTAAAAATGATGTGTCACATGTCAAAACTGACAAGTGACACTTTTTCGTCACTTTTCGTCACCGTGACGACGTCATCGTCACAGGTGACCATGTCACAGTGTCCATCTTCGAACTCGTCCTGTCCATTGACGTTAGGAGTTTACGTTTAAAATTTCAAGTGTCTATGTCTTTTCGTTCAAAAGTTATCGGAGCTACGGACAGACAGACGGACGTACAGACAGACGGACGGACGGACGGACAGACAGACGGACATAACGATCTTATAAAGGGCTTTCACCCCTTAATAAAAAAGTGTGGGTATTTATTACAAGTTTGCATCTTTATTCGCATAGTAAAAATAGTGTAAAAAGAAATATTTCATAAACTACATAAATACACGCTTAGATTAAATGACTTAATGTCGTGGTTGAGATGCACAAGTTACATATGTAAATGCATAGGGAATTAATTTTCAAGCGAAAGGGTTTTTTGTAAAGTTATTTTTTTCTCAGCATTGTTGATACATGATGTAAACTCGTATTGAATACACTCACGATCAGGGAAGTCTCATATTTGGTCGGGTTAAATAAGACGAACGTAAATACGTTTGTTTATTATGGAGTTATAGATACATATATATTGACAAAATTTAAGAAATATCTAGGTTGGTCACCTGTTATAAGGTCACGATTGACATGGCTGGATTATTTATGGATATGGTCACGTACCCCATTTTCTGAGAAATAAATTTATATTGGGTCATCAAAATAGGCATGAAATTTACATAAATCCAACCTTTAAGGTTTTATTGACTGTGAAAAATTAATAAATTGCCGATTGGACATAAATGCATAGTTTTGAGTTTTTGTCAATACCACGCAATGTAAAATGCCAACCAATTCCTGCATTAAATTCTGGAGAATCCACTCTGATAAAATGGATTTATTATTCTTTTAATAGTAATTCTCTGCCCTATTTCTGCAACATGTACCTATGTCGCGGGCAGACGGAGTGTCATTTTGCTGAAATGGTTTCATGTTTGCTTAAAAAGCTTAAATCGATATTTACATCATTTGTAGAATATGGAGCACATAAATGAATACGATATCGACATGTTCTAATTAACACGCAACTGACTGGAGTAGTAAACAATGGACAAGTTTAGGCTAATTATTTATTTTATTGGGTTTGCAATCCTCCTCGCCTTTGCTTCTTGTTCGACCTGGGGGTTTTCAAACACAAATGTAGCCCAACATACGTAACTTGTTGACGAAGGATAAATCCATATGCATTTATTAATTTTAATCGATGGGATCATACGTCGTCCAGGTTGTAATAATTGACAAGCAAATAGGGAAACACGACTGTCTAGACTTTATAAATATTTTTGACAATATACCCTACCCAGGATTATAATGTTGTCGGAATGTCAATAAAATTTGTTGGCTGTCTAAAACTAAGAAATGTGTTAGTTGAGAGACCAGTTAACAGATTAACGTAAGGATACTTTATACTCGCATTTCTTCCAGTCCGCCACCCAGAAATTGGGTGTTTCCCGTTTCTCGGAAAAATGCAGAATGCAGGATCCCTTCGTAAACACCGGGCTCGTAATTTATCCAAGGTGAGGGAAAGTTTGTGTAATTTAGTGAGGCAATTGTGCTTAAAAATCATGCATTTATTATTTCAAAAATTAGATATCCTGTCAGGGATTGCTTTCAAACAAGGATAAGGATAAATTGGTCATTCTCAATCGGTAGGTGAGGAGTTAAGGGGAAACTATATACAGGGTGGTTTAAATGTTATGTTACAATGGAAAATTTTTCAATGGGAAAAATCCGTAAATTTCCATTACTTCCCGAAATTTTGAGAATTTAGCGAATGGTTCTGTCAAAACTTATGGAACACTGATGACAAAATTCTTAAGATAGTGAATTTAAGAGGCAAAATTTCGGTAACTAATGGAGTTTTGTGAATTTTTCCCGTTGACAAATTTTCCATTATAACCCAACATTTAAAATACCCTGTATATATTTAGCCATCCATAAATTACTTAATAAAAAAATCCGGATTTCTTAGACCTTCTCCCAAGCTCCCCTTATAACGTGTCTAGGTACGAAGCCTAGAACTCATTGTAGATCCATCTCCTCCCTTTCGCAGTACATAATTTATGGACGCCCCTTTACAAATTGAGGAGTCTTAAGGTAACAAATTATTATCTTTGCAGGGGAGCTAGTGGTTTGACCAAGGCAGAATTTGTGGCCGTAGAAACTTCCGGCTTGCCAGAAAGTCCTCCAATAAATGATAGAGATCCAACCGAAACTCGACCATATTTACTGAGCAGCGGTGTAATTTGGCGCCTCAAAACGATCCTTACCCTGGGACGGGCTGTCTTCATATTTCCCTGGAGCTGGGGTGAATTTGTGGGGGAAGATAAGGTCTCTAATTTCGAAATCACGGCCTGGAGCCCGACCTGGGAAAGGATTTGGCTGCTGGGGTCTCTCGTGATTTTATCCAGTTCCAGCGTCCTGACCCTTTTTCAGTCCTCTTTGTTGATTAGGATTGTCCAAAGTTCTCCAGACTCGTATCGCCTCCCGTTCAAGTTGTACACGAGCATTTGTTGGCATCTCCACTCCGTCATGCTTGGCGGGCTTTTCTTGATCTACAGCGAGGAGATGAGGAGCTACACGAATACCTTGTTCTCCTTCAATAGGAGGCTGGTTGGTGAGTGGGGATGGGAAACGCAAACAGGGTACCCCGGGTTTTTGGGGTATTGAGGGTTTTGGGGTGGAAAATTTGAGCAACACCCACGGGTAGTCGGGGTTTTCAAATTTTATAAAATATTATAGGAGGGCATTATTATAAATTCTACTAATTAATTAATTAAGATAATTAACAACCCGCTTTGTTGTGAAATTAAAGAAAAAGTAGATTTATTTCACAACTTAATACATGAGACACTACCTCCGTTTACCCCGACTACCCCGACTACCCCAGCCACCCCGACTACCCGTAAATTCAGGTGAACAAATGGGTAGGGGTTTTCAATAGCGAAACCTCGTGGTTTTCCTTACCCTTCTCACAAGGCGGTGAACGAAAGCATTGCTTACAAGAATTTTGTATCTTTTAAAACAGCGCGGTACGTCGTGAGTATTGGAGGAAAAAAGGCGGGCTCTTTATGAATATTACAGTCCCAATACTTTGTACGCAAATCGTCCTCTCCGCTATGAGATACTGCTCCAGCTACAAGTTGCCGCTCTACCTGACTCATTTCTGGGGAGGGGAAAATGGGGGTGAAACTCCCCTCTGGTTGATTGCCTTGGGGGCCGTGCAGGATGTCTATACATCTGGACAACTCGTGGCTGGGACATTGTTTCTGGGATGGGCCACAGTGGCTCATGCAACGTCCTTGGAGTTTTGGATGGAAGAAGCACAGTAAGATATTTATTTACATTTTGTTAAATGAAGTCCTACAAGGGAACATGGCGAGGTGCCAGACGACCTAAATTTTTTAAAGAAAATGTGCGCAAGTAAGGGAGTTTTGATGTCAAATTCAATTCTCATGAAGTTACGAGGGTAGATAATTGTTTGCAAAGAATGCAGTATGCTAAGATTATGTTAAGTGCGCAGAAGTCAATACTCGTCCAGCAGCAGGGAAGGGAGCCTTAATGTTATATCTGTTTGGGTAAACTAGCAGTTTAGCTCTTCAGGAGCATCTGGATACGTTGGGGAAAAGAGGATGTGACACACGGAAATCCCTTGGATAAATATGTACATTAGTGATATATTGGGCACTCTTCTGAACTCGTTTGACACCTCGGAATGTTCCCTCGCGAAGCAATTTGACGTCATGGTTGAGTTTTCAACAAATTCTGGTGGAAATTATAACACAAGACTTACAACAAATTCTCGGCGAACCTACAGAATTCTGCACAGAATTCGGGCGATTTTATCTCAGAATTCGTAAAGCAGCCCCACCGATGGATGAAATCTGCTTCCATCTGTTAACAAATTATGAATAATTTATCCTAGTTGCAACAACGAGAGCGACATGACTCGGGAAGATCTACGAGAACACGACCAGTCAATGGAGCTCTACCGGATGGCACAACTCCTCTCAAACCTCTTCAACCACACCGTGGGCAAAGTGGCCATCCCGATGTGCGCCTTTCTCAACTTCTCCGCCGCCATTGGCCTCGGCTACCTCACCGTGCGAAGTATGAACCACTTTTTCATTGAGGAATTCCCGTCCTCCTTCTTCTTCCCGTTCGGTGCAGTGCTCACCCTCTGCTCGGCCTTTGCACAGTTCCAAATTGCGGCAGTGTTGCATGACATGTCGGCCAGTTTTCTGGACTCCTGGTCCAACACGGAGGACCTCGCGGAGAGAAGATTTCTCGTGTCGTGCGGATTTATTAAGACGACGGCGGCAGGATTTACCTCCGTTACGAGGAAAAGTCTGGTGGGGTATTTTCAAACGGTGTCGAATTATATTATTGATGCCGTGATTACATTTCCGTAGTCAGTTGCGACAACAGAGTTTTTTAGTCGAGTTCGTTGTCATATAATTTTCGCTATTGTAAGCATGTACGTATTCGTTTCATAATTAAAATTTGAAAATTATGAATATAATTATTTTGGAATTTAACAATGACTTGAGTTGAATAATTCATGACGGCGGCGGTAACAACCGGAAACAGGATAAATGTATAACATTAAATTCCTGTAATAAAGCATTTGTTTAAAACAATGATCGATTGTTCAAAGCAATTTGGTAAAACTAACCTCATATCCTGTGTTCTATACGCATTCAAAAAATTTATTTGGTATATGTGACTGGAGGAGCTCCATGCAAGATATCAATTCTTCTCGAGATGAAAATCCTAGTCTTTCTTGCAGTACTGATTTCAGGTAAAATACACCAATTTCCGCATTTAATAACAAAACGGCTATATAAATATTTGGGGAAATATAAATAAATTCAAGAATTTTAATGGACGAAATTTACATTAAATTGTGATCACTTTCATATCGATATCTTTTATGATATTATCCGTGCAGACAGGAATAGACGAATTGCAGACAATTTTACTATTTATGTAAATATGTAAATACAAGTTTCGTCTTAATGTTACAGCTTCCCAAGCAAGTCCTGGGGCAAAGTGCGTGTGTAAAAAGGATGACAACGTATTAACCGGGCGGCAGTGTGGCAAAGAAATCAACAGATTGCAAGGCGCCCCTCCAGTCAGGAAACGAAGGGTGGGTTTCCCGAATTTCTGTCGTTTAACCGTTCTGGAGTTTGTTTTGCGAGACATCTCAAGATTGGTAAAAGCATTTGGTGGTTCATGTATTGAAACTTTTGTACATCAAACCCGGAGATCTAATAACCCCGTGTGGAAGATTCATACACGTTCACATTCATTCATATAATGATGAATGAATAAATTATTCATTCAATATTCAAAAATTGAATGAATATTTTATTCTGATTTTTGAATAAATAAATGTTGAATGAATATCTATTCAATTCGTTTGAATGAATATTTTTTTCATCGTCCGTTTTTTTACTGAATGCTTAATACACAGGGAAAGTTGAGAAATTCATATAATACTGTGGATTTTGAATAAAATGAATAATTAATACATGTTGAATAAGTAATTAATATTTTTTTACAACTTAGGAATTAGGAACAAATTTTTTCAAGGCTTTCAATGAATGAACTTTGAATGAATAAATATTTTTTGAACATGTATGTAGGCACTATTAGAAATGAGTTCACGACTATAACTAAAAAGTATTCATATATGACTCTACCGCCGTGGTTATGAATTTATCACCGCCTGGTTATAAATTTATTAGCTCTGGTTACAATTTAACACCAAGTCGGTGAAACTTTATAGTTTGTCGGTGAAAATTGTAACCACTCGATGACAAATTTATAACCACGCCGTTAAAGTCACATACGTTTACTTTTTGGCTATAATCGTAATCCTATTTCTAAGAGTGTGATGAGATTTACAGAATACGCTACAGTATTTATAAGTACAAATATCGTAATATCAAAATTGTTACATACAGGAAGTCGATGTGTCCACGCTTTACGATGGTGAGGAATGCCACCTCGATTTCATTTACGAGTGCCCAGATCCACCAGACGCAACAACACCAGCGAAACCTAAGGAAAATTGTATCCAACTCATTGACAATCATTACACATGCTCGGACCAGGATGGAAATGGATTCTGCCAATTTAATTCATCTCAAGGCTAAATTATGGGCTCAAATGAACGCTCTAAGATGTGTTACCGGTTTTGGGCAAACGGAATAAATTGTATAATAAGATAAACGAAATTTAAAGCTACAAAAAAATGAACTTTCACCATTTTTAAGGTAGCATGGAATTTGTCTTATGTAATTACATATTAAAATAAATATTGGTTTATGTACATATGCATATCTGTTATAGAGCATTTGCTTTTTTGTGCATTTTCATCACTGCAACGCGACAAGCTGAAGCGCTACATCAACATAAGCAGATAGGTAGATGAAGCCTACTTCTCACCGCAGCTGTTTATGTTACAATTACCCCTGAGCCCTGACCCCGGTAAAATTATTATGACTCGAATGCCGACCTTGACATTGGTTGGAGGAACTAAACTCCTTTGACGCCGTGGTCTCTTTCTACTCGGCTTGACCCGGTTCGCGGGTCAAATGCCGTTCCCCCTCTCAGTTACCTTACCCACTACTGGATGTTGAGATGATGATGACCTCATGAATTTCCGAGGCTGACGGTGCCTGGACCATGAATTATGATCTGACGCGCAATCAATATACAAAGATAATGAAAGGTTTTTTGGCATCTTAAGGTCAAAATGTGAGAAACCTTGCAAGAAGTCATCTGTACCAGAAACCCTGGTAAATATATAGATTTTGCTGCAGTAAAATGGCATTTATTTAGGTGCTGTAGTAAGTACCGATTATTTAGACAGTAATTGAAATAACGAGCTGAGGGGTGATTTTTTAAATACGAAGTCACATAAATAATGAGGCATAATCTTGGGTTCAATCGTGATATTATTTAAATTATGCAGGTGTTTAACACATGAATTGTCTCAACTTGCAGTAATTTATATTTCGTTTCAAATTTGGCTAAATTAATTGACTTCACTGAAAAGCAAAATTCATAAAGAGGTTTGTGTCTATGTGTTACTTAGCATCTAATCAAGGTATGGAAATGTCGAAAAGAACTGGCTTATGCCACAGTCAAGGTATCCAGCTTGACCCATTAGAATGTAGGCAAATCCTTTGTCCCCCCATCCGGTCCCCCAAGAGTTTTTGATAATCCAATAATTGCTTCCGGTATCGCTAACCTCATATCTAAAAATTTATATAAATACAAATTAAGATGAATATTCTTCATATGTATATGAAAATTTACCCAACAAGCAACACGGCATGATCCACCGATTTGTTCTGGCTACAAGAAAGGGATCCCCGAGTATATAATGGATCCCATTGTTAGCAGTAACGCCAATAGCCAACTGAAATTATTACCTCTTCTTAATCGATGCCAAGGGAGACAAATAAGTATGTGGCTTATTCGAAATACATATTGAGTAATGGCGCACTAAAATTACTCGAGATTGTGAGACTATCACATTAGATAAGGTTGCAAAGAATTTAAGAACAGGTTTTCGCCATCATACATAATACCCCAGGGGGAGGATCCTATCAACTTTTGGGTGCAACCGGACCACACCCCCGGTCGCCAGGGGGTGTGGTTGGGGCAAAATGAGATTTTTAGTGCTATTTAATCTATGGGTAAAATTAGGTGAAATTGAGTGAAATTAAATGAAATTAAGTGAAATTAAGTGAAATTAAGTGCCACACCCCCTCGGCCCCAGGGGGTGTGGTTGGGGCAAAATGAGATTTTTAGTGCAATTTAATCTACAGGTGAAATAGAGTAAAATTATGTGTTCCGGAGTTGTGCCACACCCCCTAGGCGCCAGGGGTGTAGTTGGGGCAAAATGAGATTTTTATAAAAAATTAATCTATAGATGAAATAGAGTGAAATTAAGTGTTCCCGAGTTGTTCCACACCCCCTCGTCGCCAGGGGGTGTGGTCGGGGCAAAATGAGATTTTTACAAAAAATTAATCTATAGGTGAAATAGAGTGAAATTAAGTGTTCCCGAGTTGTGGTGGGACCGTTTGGGGTGAAGTACGTCTGAAGCTACTTCCGTATGCGCGTTTGCGACGGTTTATTTATTCTTTAATTAAGTACTTGAAACAAAAACCGCAATTGTTCAGCCGTCTTAAGCTGATTTGATTTAAGCTGACTTAGAGGCAACGACTACCCATAACTTTGCTGCGACGCGATAAACATAGGGCGGATATGTATGTACTTAAATTCCTCAAAATATGTATGTAATATGTACTTTAATACCTCGAAAATATGTGCATAAAACATATTTTTTAAGTTAAATTTTCTACTATATTTATATTTAATTTTCCAGAACTTTGAAATTTTTAGCACTCGCATCGACGAATTATGTGTTAACCTTTATCCAATTACTCATAGTGCGACATTAATTATGTTCCTTGATTTTTTAAAGGTAATTTTTGGCTTGGAAAATGGGGCAAACTGGATTTGCTAGTCGTTCACATGAATTAAACGCCATTATCATGAAAATATAATTTCCATAAATCTTATTATACAAAAATAATTTTAAAAAATATTTTTACATAAAAAAACCTCGAAGCATATCTAAATATCTAAACATCTAAATATTTATATTTAGAAAAAGGCTCGAATATGTAGGAAAATATGTGAATATATGCAAAAAATCTCAAAATATGTTTGAAAATATGTATATGTACGAAAACCCTAAAATATGTAAAATATGGAAAACTATGTTTGAATTTTTGAGATCAATCTTCGATGGGATGTCACTATATGAAGTTTTAGTACGATCTAATTTGATATGAAAAAGTTAATAATACATACATAACCGCCCTCTGGCGATAAAAATACCAAAATCACTGTGATCCAACAATGTTGCAGCAGCGTAATTTCATCGAGAAATTTCTAATTCGGATATTATAGCCAATGGTAGTTAAGGAAGCTTGGTTCTAATCGAAAACATGGCTTTACACGTAACGATTGTGAAAGAATTTTGCGTATACCTTGATTTCTGACAGCGGACACGTATCCATACCGTCTCCAATCCCAACTGGTTGGCAGTGAGGCCAGAGCGTTCCGCTCGTTGGTCACCGGTAGAATGGTATCATTCATTGCCAATTCTGGGTTTAGACCATGATGAGTTTCATGAAAGTCAACCGGGTCTTCATCCGCAAATTCGTTAATTGCTAAAATTAGAAGCCAAATGCTACTGTATTTAATAAAAAATGTGCAAGTTTTGTTGTCAAGGAATTGAGCAGCCAAATACCTAGTTTGTACAGAACTTCTCCATGTTCAAATCTTTTATTGTGAACGTGCACACGTGCCGAGTTTTTTTCAAATTTTCCACGAGCCCATGCCTCTTCTTTGGCAGATTTATATTCCTTTTTATATTCCTCCTAAATATTTATTGGAATTAGAAACGTTTCCGAAATGTAAAAATATTCGTGAGTTTTTATAGATGATCAATTTTCAAAAATATCGAATTACAAAAATGGATAGGTTAAAATTCTTTTAAGAGTTTTTGGAAATTGTAAAATTGGACAATGTTCATCCTCGGTACCTTAAAGGCCTCCCAAGTTCGCCTATTGAACTGGACTGCCCTCGTTGGCAAGGGAAATGCCAACGAAGGCGGTCACCAGGACGACAATTGCGACCACGCTGAATCTAGTCATTGTTTTTTAAAATTTCAGTCAAGTTTAACTTTGATTTCAATTAAAAACTGTTGAGACATTGAAGAGAACATCGTTTTATACTTTAGTCTGTGGGGGTTAAGTGGCACTAATAAAACTTACAGACTTAAGTGATAATTTTAGATAAGGAATGGATAAAGAATTAATGGATTTGACTTAAAACTTTTACGTAATTTAAACAGTATGACTAATAAAGCTTGCAGACTTAATTGATGATAGTAATTCCACATAAGGTAATTCCAGATTAGGGATGGATAAAGAGTTAATGGATTTGACTCAACACTTGTATATACGTAATTTGAACAGTATGATTTAATTTACATATTCTATTCCAGTTACTCTCAAACCCCTGATTGCGGGGCTTTACGAATGAAGATGCCGTAACGTAGAATCTCGGGAATGAAAGGGAATTAAATTCCATAAGGTACCCAATCTCTAAATAAATTGTTAGACGAAAGGTTAAGCTTTAACGTATTTCGTTCAATTATTCTAATAAACTAGTTTAAGCTTTGTAAAGGGCATATTTGGTGAAGGATCCTACAGAGTTTGAACTATTAAGTTTATTTAAAGTTAATAGGGTGGGAGATTGTAGAGTTGAACGGGTAGAAGAATCTTTTAAGAAGACAGTTCGCCGGGATCATGGGCACGTGGTGATGGATCATATTACGTACATTGTAGAGAGAAACCAATGCTTCCGTCAAATGTGACGCAGCCATAATTCATAAGTTTTTTAGAAAATTTATGACATATTGATAAGAGTTACACACAGGACGTTAATTGCGACCACGTTGAATCTAGTAATATTTCATTCAAGTTTAACTTCGATTTCACCTAAACACTGTGGAGACATCCAAGATAACATCGTTTTATACTTTACACAATCTGTGGGGGTTAAGTTGCATTAATAAAACTTACAGACTTCATTGATGGTAATTCCAGATAAGGAATGGATAAAGAATTAATGGATTTGACTTAACACTTGTACGTAATTTGAACAGTATGATTTAACTTATGCATTCTATTCCAATTACTCTCAAACCCCTATAATTGCGGGGCTTGATGAATGAATTGTTCAATCCGAACCTGGTTTTTAAAATAACTACTCTTACACATGTTGTACATAATTTCAAGGACATAAATAGTATGTAAATTTATCTTTACTTATCTGGTGACACCTTGAATCCAAATAATCAATGAAAATTATTAGATAACATCTGCATACGGTGTATCACGTATGGTTTGCATGTTTACCGAAGTCAATTACACTTATAAAAATATTTACGTAGATGACAGTAAAACTTGTGCAAACAATTAACAATTTTAAATACGAAACAATGTTTAAATATACTTTGTCATCCATTGTTCAAACAATTTTAATTGTTTTCCTGGCATCAGCATCGACATCTCATCCGAATGTGACGGGTACAGTAAAATAAATATTTTCAGGTCAAATATTTACAATTTTTATTAAGTAGCTTCAGCTACTTTACCTATATGCGAAGACTTAGTCCGTCTGTCCGCCTGTCGGTCCGTCAGCAGGATAACGGGGGAATGGATCGAGATAATCGAAATCGGTTTTAGCCATTATATCAATGACTTCAGGGGGAGGATCTTATCAACTTTTGGGGCCAATTGGACCACACCCCTGGGCGCAAGGGGGAGTGGCCGGGGCAAAATGAGATTTTTGGTGCAATTCAAACGATTGATGAAATAGAGTGAAATTTTGTGTTCCCCCGTTATGCCACACCCTCTGGGCATCAGGCGGTGTGGTCGGGGCCAAATGAGATTTTTTCAAAAATTGACTCTTAGATGAAATACAGTAAAATTAAGTGCTCCTAGTTGTGCCACACCCCCTGGGGGTGTGGTCTGGGGTAATCCAGAGGGAAAGGCTACACGAGGCGACCTTATCCAATATTTTAATAATATATCGGGAAGATACACTTTGTCTGGGCAGCATAACCGAGAACCGAATTCCGAGCCGTGGAAATGGAGTTCGATTGCACGCGATATCACTGGAGTATTTCCAGGATTGTGGGGAGGTGACTTCCTCTTTCTTCCGGACGATGTGAGGGACAGGCAAATCATGATTGACGAAGCAGTGCGGAGTTGGGAGGCTGGATCCGTGGTGGCCCTCAAGTGGCATGTGTGTCCACCAACGGTGGGGGAAACTTGTGATTGGAATGATGAAGGGATTCTTGCACAACTTTCCGGTAATTATTGTAATAAGCTAATATGTTCATGAATACCTGTCAAAAATATTTTTTCACTCAAACTGCATTCATTGTGATTATGACGTTGACTTATTCATTCTAGCTTTGAAATATTATTCACTCATATTCCTTGCTTATCTCCATGTTCACTATTCAATGAATAAGTTTATTCATTCGCCCCATATGCCAAGCATAGAGTATAAAGTGAATGCATGAGTAATTTGCTGATTCGCTCTTCAATGAGGTATTATTCAGTCATACTACATTCACGTGTAGTCGGGGTAGTCGTGGTATTCAAATTTTACAAAATATAATAACAGGGCATTACTAGCAATTCAACAAATTAATTACTTATTAAAATATAATTAATAAGCAGTTTTGTTGCGAAATTACTGAAAAACTGATTTTTTCATTACTTTATGAACTTAATACATGAGACACTGACCCAGTTTGTCCCCAAACCCCCAACTACCCCGACTACCCCGACTACCCACAAAACCCAGGTAAAATCCCGGGGTATGGGTTTTCCTTACCCTGTACATGTATATGGGTACATGATTGATACCGTAGTATTTGACACTCACGTTACATTTTTACGTGTGTAGTAAACGTTGGAGCCGTGCGTCGAGTCAGCATTCATTGGGAAGCTGCGGATGCACCCGGATTTCAGATTCAGTCTTCCCTGGATGAAGAAGCTTGGACCACAGTGCATGAAAATTACAACGGGAGTGGAGGAGTAAATGACGTAAACTTGGTTTCAATCATAGCAAGATACATCAAAGTGTTTTTGTTTACAAAAGCTACAGAGTTCGGTTATTCGATTAGAGAGGTTGAGATTTATTGAACAGAACAAAATCCTGACTTTTACCAGAATTGATGGTCAACAAACACCACTTGTTACGCATTACTTAATCTGACGTGAATTAACAAGCATGCTGTTCAATTAATTCATCTTCAATTGCTTATTACACTTCTTCCAACTTACCTTTTCATTACATATTGTCAAGTTGTGTATATACCTGTTCCAAAAACCTTTTTTCATTCAAAGTTCAGTCATCCCGATTTCTGACTGAAGATTTTCATTCACACTCTCAGTCATTTTCTCGCACTACTCATTTCATTTAACCCCTTCTGACTAGGGTTCTCAATGGGCTTCGGGTTGGCCTGGACCGGACCGAAATCCGACGGTTCGGTCCCGGATTGGGCCATCCGCAAATCCGGACCGAAAGTTTCGGTCCGGTCCTCGATCCGGTTTCAGATCACCTTTTCAAGGACCGGACCGGACCGCCGGTTTTCGGTCCGCCTGAATGTTTTGGCGCGCGAGAAAATTCAAATACTTCGATCTCGAATTTTTGAATGTTTTCTGCCAAACTCATGAATTTTCAGTGTGTTGAAACTCTATGTTACGTGGTTTTTTCAAAAGTTGTCCACATGATCCATAAAGATTGTGTTTTTTAGGTTTTAAAGTTTTTACGCTCCTTGATTTTGGGAGGATTTTTTAAATTCCTAATATATTTTAAAAATTAAAAAAGACCTGTTGAGAAGGAAAATGTAAATTGGTCCTGAGATAAAATGTATAATAACCTCACTGGCCGATAAAACTTATGAGACCTAATTCGATACATGTATGTAAGTCTGAAACATGACATTCTGGTTATATATTCTGGTTATATATTCTGGTTATATATGTACGATTATATGTCTCATGTAGTTACATAAGACATTTATGTACATATATGTGAATAATGTTTTTTTTTATAATTATTTTTGACATAGGTATTTCAACCTTCTTATTCAATTAATAATCATGAGAGTACAAAACAAATCACATAACTAAATAAAGAACTAAAACTATGATTTGTATCAAGGTATGATAAAATTATTAGTATAATTATTAGAATAATATGTAATAAATCTCAATCCACTACTTATACATATGTACTATATGTGTAATTATTAAGTAGCTTCAGCTACTTTATGTGAAGACTTTGTCTGTCTGTCTGTCTGTCTGTCTGTCTGTCCGTCTGTCTGTCAGCAGGATAACGGGAGAACGGATAAAGATAATCGAAATCGGTTTTCGCCATCATACATAATACCCCAGGGGGAGGATCCTATCAACTTTTGGGTGCAACCGGACCACACCCCCGGTCGCCAGGGGGTGTGGTCGGGGCAAAATGAGATTTTTAGTGCAATTGAATCTATGGATGAAATGGAGTGAAATTTTGAGTTCCCCCGTTGTGCCACACCCCCCGGGCGCCAGGGGGTGTGGTCGGGGCAAAATGAGATTTTTGAAAAAATTGAATGCATAGATGAAATACAGTAGAATAAAGTGCCCCCGAGTTGTGCCACACCCCCTCGTCACTAGGGGGTGTGGTCGGGGCAAAATGAGATTTTTGAAAAAATTGAATGTATAGATGAAATACAGTAAAATCAAGTGTTCCCGCGATGTCGTGGGAGTGCTTGGAGTGAAGTAGTCTGAAGCTACTTTCGTATGCGCGTTTGCGACGGTTTATTATACTATACTATAATGATATGTCTTTATACTATAATGATATGTTTTTCGGTCCGCCCGGATTGACCGGTCCGGTCCTGGTCCGGTCCCGGTCCGGTTCTGGGCCGAGGGGAAATTTTTCGGTCCGGTTTCGGATTGGTCGTTTCGGGCCTCGGTCCGGTTTCGGATCAGGGCTGATCCGGACCAATCCGGACCATTGAGAACTCTACTTCTGACTTCATTTCTTACTTCGCCCCATTTATTAAGCATGTAAGTGAAAAATAAAAAGAATGAGAAATCCATGCTTTCAGAGTCACTCATCTGAAACAATCGAATCTTTCAATCATTTTCATTCAAATCGCAGGAAATTCATTTTCATTCAAATCGCAGGAAATTCATTTTCATTCACTATCATTTTCTATCATAATCAGTCATATGGATTAAAGTGAACAGGTATGGTTGTATATAAACCTTTACCTTCTCTTCGCCTGGTGAATCGGTTACTTGTCACTAATCCCAAATAATAATCCCATTATCCTTCTTAAAAATTACATTTTTGCCCAATTCCTCACCTTCTCGCAAACGTTAAAAGCTGAAGAGTAGCCAAGCAAATAAAAAGTTAGCTGGGTTTCTTGCTCCATTCTTCAACACTATTATATGTAAATCCTTTGTCCGGATATGCATACATACACAGACAGGGGGCCGGACATAAAGGGTATTCGCAATTTTCAGAGAATCTTAGAGAAAATTAGTTACTAAACCGGTAATTACCCCAGTCGCGAAATTTGAAAATATTACCAGTTGGTAACTAATTTTCTACCACTCAATAATCAATTAATTACCATGCGGTAGAGTCACATAGATACTCCGCCTGGTAATAACTTAGTTACCGGGTTTCTTAGAATGTGGTTTTCACCGAACCATGTGATCTACATATGTATTAAAATTTGTGTAGTACTTTATAGGTATGAGAAGGGCATGAAAATACATCCCGTGTCGAATCAACATCATTTTTGCACGGCACCTAAAAGAATAATAAAATATTACTTTTCACAATAAATAGAAGTAAATACCCCCGATATGAGTCACATTATTATTTGGTTTAAATTACGTAAGTTTCTTTTCTATGTATTTATGTATTTTAATACAAGCGACATTTTGTCAGGATGATTGAATTGGTTAAGAATCGTACATATCCAATTAAAATCGTAACCTACCAATTTAAGATATTTCCATTTATTTAAATATGTAACACAGTCCTGGAAGCATTAATGGGAAAATGTGAAGTGGAGTATGTATGCGATGCAATTGCTACGTGTGCATAGAAAGTTGAGCCATCATCATCTCAAATATGCGTCAATGGTAAGTAATTCTCCAGCTAACTAACTAAACCTAACCTGTGTAAATATGTATGCCATCCAAGTCAGTGGTAATTCCAGTCAAGGTTGCCTTGGAAAAAATAGCAGCCACGTAGATACATATGTGCCTCGGACTGCTTTCATATAACAAAAACATGCACAGCCAAATCTACGTGGCAAACATATGTATGTACATACATATTTATTATTTACATATATCATACTCTGCTCCACATATAAATAATTTCGGTGAAACGTTTCTTATTAAATAAGTTAAGTACTTTTCAGTTAATAAATTCGTTTGGTAACTTTTTATGTTCAGTGTTGTTTTGGAAATTACACAATCAAGTGAAGAAGAGATTTTAAAGGGAAATGGAAATGAGAGGGGATGATGATAAGGAGAGGGTTATCGGACTAATAGACATGGACTGCTTCGAGTGCCAAGTTTATCAGAGGGATAAACCCAAGTTGAAGGGAAGCCCGTGCGTCGTGGCTAATTCGAAAGGACGGTGGGTTAATTATTTTATTGCAATTGATAATTACTAATTGGAATAATATGGCTGTATGTTATGAAAATTACGCTCGAAACTGAAATGGGATTTTTTGTGCTATTTGCAATTAGTATTAAAAATTCCTATCTTTACCTTATGTTTTTTTAGAAATTTTGTACTTTTGACTATAAAGTTTTGAGTAGTTTAAAGAATAATTTAAATGCCAATTCATTCAATTATTTAACATTTATTTGGTCCTATTAGAGGTCTGGTTAATTAACATTTTATAAATGTGCAAATCAATGAAATATTTATTTTTTCTAGAATTGTTTCTGTAAACTACGAAGCTCGTCCTGCTGGTATATCAAGATCTCTCAATGTGTCCGATGCAAAGAAGAAATGTGAGAACTTGACTGTCTTCAAAATCCCAGACGTGCTTGGAAAACCCGATAATTCCAAGCTACGCCACGCCTCGCAAGAAGTACTCGACATAATTAAGGATTACATTGGAAAGAATGGACGGTAAACATATGAAATGTCTAAAATATGCATAGGAAGTTAGCCAAGGCCAGGATTTAAATTTTTAAATTTTTAAGCTTTCCCGCTACAACCGGGCATGATTCGATGACGCAAATGTCGTCCGGAACATTTATTCATAATTCCCTGAAAATTTCAACCAAATCGTACGCGGGGAACATTTGACCAATAAAAAAATGTATTTTTTACTCCTCACCCTGATTACTAATCACTGTCAGCAATTTTTTAAATTGTCAAAATTCATTAATTCTTTAAAACTTAACGTGAGTGAGTAAAGACGATATTTTTGTATTTTTCAAAAGTTTCCCGCCTACGATTTGGTTGAAATTTTCAGGGAATGATGAATAAATTTTAGGAAACATATTTCATTCATCAAATCGTGGGTGTCTTTGGCAAAGGCTAAAAATAAAAGATTCTAAGTTCTGGGCTGGGCTAACTACACTAAAATTTAAAATTCCTAAACCTGACCTTGAAACATGTCTAAAACATTTCAAGGGATCAAATGGTCCTCGAGTACAGCCCGACCGACGAATTTTACTTGGATTTAACAAACCACGTGGATCACGAGCTGCAAGACAGATTCAAAAAAACATATTATGGGATGATGGCGGCTTCCCAAATATTTCCCCACTTGATCGCCATTCCATTGTTCCTTTACACGTTACTCCAACACAGCCCGTTCGCTGCCTTGTTTGTATGTCTCCTCATTATGCCGAGATTCCTCAAGGAATTAAAATCTACCCGGGAGAGGATGCGGTTACACTGTGGGGCCTCCCTGATTCGCCGTGTCTGTAACGAGATAGAATCCAAAAGCAGAATGACCGCGTCTGGTGGGGTCTCCGGTAACAAATTTCGCGCAAAACTAGCCTCTTCAGAGAATAAGCCGAATGGGGTCGCAATAATAGAAGGGAACGATTTTAACGACATTTTGTCTTCCAAAAAGATCAGGGATGTTCCCGGTTTGAAGAGTGGTTTAGGAGAGAAAGTGTGCTCCACGTGGGGGATCAGGGATATCCAGGAATTAAAGAAGTACTCACGGGATGAGCTGCTGCGCTACCTGGAAGATGACGAGGTGGAGAAAATCCTGAACATTTTGACTGGCACCGACACCAGCCCAAAGGTTGCGAAGGAATTCTCGGCAGCAATTCATTGCAGGTATACTTGTTCAAACAATATTTATTCATTCAAAATTCATTTGGGTTTGGGACATATTCATATTCCCGATCATGTTTCGGGCTTTTTCGTTCATTTCATCATTTTTGGCCTAATTCTAAGATTTGGCAACCAAATCGACAGAAAATAACAAAAAATTCAGTTTTCTCACAATTATTCATTAATGCGAGAAACTTTTAGAAATTTACGTTCACTTTCGCCTAAGGTGATTTAATTCATTGCGAATGAATTAAATCACCCCAGAACTTGTTTAATTGATAAAAATTGAGCATTACGAGAAAATATATGAAACAATTAAGCCAAAAATTTGAAAAATAAAGTCATTTTTTTGGTCATATTTTAGGGATTTTTGCGGTCATTTTTCATTCATATTTTGAGGTTTTATCATTCATTTACATATATCCGACGTCTGTTTATTACCAAGTTAGGTATGTATTGAGTAATAAATAATATTGCATGCATACTACTTAATTTAAGCCAACTTCGCGATCTCCTTCCATTTCAAGTCAGTCCAAGAACTTGGCATGTTGTTTGTGAAAAAATAGATTGAAATTGCAAATAAATAATAATTAACATGAGATCAAATCGTGCCCCTGGCAAATTTAGGAAACTTGGGGATGAAGAATTACTCAAGTTGGAGTCTGCTTTGATGAATTACCTGCCAAAATCTAGTCAGGTAATAAATTATATACATATTTTCTAATAAAAATTAATATCGGTTAATAAAAAAAGTGAGATTAAATAAAATATTTATCATGCCAAAATGAATTGTAAAGGTTAATTTTCAATAAACGATTTTCAATCGGGCTCACAAGGGACACTCACGACCTGTCGTTTGAGTTCAGGGTACCCACAATGTTTTTCAGGATCTACTAGGACCCCAGATGAAGGATTCATTCATATTTCCGTGTAAAACCCATATTTGGAATAATCGCTTTTAACTTTTCGCAAAATTTCGTAATTTTCTTAGAAATGGGGATTCGTCGAAAAAGTGCTAAAAATATTTCAAAAATTAGGAAGTTTTATTTTTATTTTTTTGTCAAAAATTTCGCATAAAATTTCGCATAAAATTTTGAAAATCCTACATAAACTGCAAAGGTTATGGGGGTTTGAGGTAGGTCGAAAATGTAAATTTTTAAGTTTGGCGCCACGGCACGACGCCAAATATGAGTTTTACACGGAAATATGAATGGATCCTTCATCTGGGGTCCAAGTAGATTCTAAAAAACATAGTGGGTACCCTGGACTCAAACGACAGGTCGTGAGTGTCCCTTGTCAGTATTTCTCTAAAAATGGAGGCCTCGCAGCGTATACTCTCCAATTTTGAGCGAATTAATTAGAGCCAATCAATCACAAATTTAATTAAAATGAAATTTTCAGAAGATACCATGACCTTTGGTTTATTTTGCAGAGATAAATATTTGTATCAGAAGAGAACAGTAAATTGGGAAAATATATTTTTATATTTGATAATACATTTTCTCCTGTTTTAATGCAACTTTGGCAAACCTACGAATTCATAAATCGTCCCTGATGCAAATTTCACATTAATAAAGTTTGCGATCGAGTGTCACGAATTTTAGCACAGTTTGAGAGCATTCTCTACAATGCGTCTGATAATTTTGTCTTCACTTTTATTCACCAGTTTTTGAACATTGTGAGGCAAAAGATCCTTCAACTCATCAAAGAACCCATAATTTCGGACGTATTTCTCTACAAGGATGACGAAACTCAAGATTTTGATAAGTGGGCCGACACTTTCGTTGTCTGCGCCCAAAATAACGTAAATTATGTCCAAATTCTGCAAAAATTTTATAGACTGGTCTAAAACAGAGAAAAGTGAATAAGCCTCCTAAAGGAGACCTAGAAGACTCAACTCCATAAGGATGCGTAAGCCACGTTGAGAGCCAATAACAGACGACGGCGAGGTTTTTGCACTTTTTCATCTCAGTTTTTTCAGCTTCTTAAACAATCAAAAATATACATTTGTTTCGATTTTGGCGTCCAACATGTACAATTTACTGCATTTTTGACAGAGTTGAACTCCGAAAATTAAAAAAAGACATAATTAATATTAAAGAAATTTAAATACAAAGAATTTTCTGATTGGCTGTCGATGGGTGGGAGGGGTCGAAAACCACGCCGTCCTCTATTATTGGTTCTGGCTTTTCAACGTGGCTTATGCATTTATGAATGTATGTTCAATGGGTCTGAAAAGGTTAATATTTTCCATGGTATGTAATTAGATCCACAGTGAATACTGCATCCTACCGCGTCCACCAGAATTAATTCCGGTCAATTCCGGAATGATGCAATCCTTCGAGGAATTAATAGAGTAGGATCGCACCCACATTTTTGGATCGGTTCCACAAACTTTTCTAGACTCGTATTTGCGACCCATTTTGGAAAAGAGAGGGATTCAATATAAAGATAATCCATGCGATGCGCATGTCCTGGATGTGGAGACGGCATTAAATTATGACAAAGGTGGGCTGCTTCCAATTTCCAAGAACGAAGGTGTTGAGAGGGTATTCTGATTAAACTATCCCTAATCGATAGAAACTTTAGTTAATTGGAGATGTCACGATCTACAAGTTCTCTAGTTTGAAGTATTTCTATGAAAGGAGGAGAAATCTGTCCTAAATGGTGTATGTAAAATTTGACACTTTCCATATTTACTCTGTGTATTCTTCTCTTCGGATGCAAATATTCATAGAAAACATGCCACTGAGACATGGTGGCATTTGACAATTCTATACTGACAATTGAGGCGCAAACCATGTTCAGCCCAGATAATGTTTTGACCTTATTAGTTTGAAAGAGCAAGTCTTTACAAACAACATTTGGTTCGGCACTTGGGCAGATGCGCAAATTTCAGCACGCTATGGGCGCCGCAAGTTTCGCAAAAACGCACGAAGTTGAGCTCGCGCTGAGCATTGCCCGAAAAATCGTGCGTTTTTGCGAAACTTGCGGCGCCCATAACGTGCTGAAATTTGCGCATCTGCCCAAGTGCCGAACTAAATTTTGTTTGTAAAAACTTGCTCTTTCAAACTAATAAGGTCAAAACATTATCTGGGCTGAACATGGTTTGCGCCTCTGTTGTGAGTAAATGTACGATCGAGTTTGGACAAAATCTGATAGACGTGCATAGTAAGAATTTTTGTTTCACAATTACATTCACGCTGTTAATAAATAAATAAATTGCAGAATACACTTATCAAGACAACGAAATTTCAATGAGGGTTTCCTCCATTCGACAAATTGATGCGGATATTGACCAAATTTTGCAAAATTGGGCTTGGACACTTCCTCACTCAAAGGGAATTTGTCAGGAACGATTCGCAAACTGGGATCCGTTGGGGTGTACGCGAATCCGAACCTGGCCAGCTATGCGGTCCACGCCTCGGTAGGACTACTCCAAGTTCTGTTCATCTACGCCTTTCGTCGCCGCGGGTTGGGGATCATCGTGATGAAGGCGCTCGCGAGAAAAGCGGCGGACCTCGGGCTAATTCTGAGGGCGGAGTGCATGGTGGACAACGACGCATCGCGACAAGTGCAGCTCAAAGCGGGGATGGTTTTTGTGGATAAGACCAACTGGATATTGTGCCGGCAGGAGTATGATCGCTGCTGGAAAAAAATATTTCTTCCCGGTATCCAACATTGCCAAACAATTTCCCGGTCCCAAAAATTTCCCGATTTAGTGACCTTTATAGTAATTCTTCTCACAAACCCTTTGGACAATACAATAGTACTTAGCTAATTACTTGGTTTACTAATTGTAATTACCATGCGTTTCTATTATTACACTGCATTTGATGCTACTTATATTCATTTGTGGGAATAAGAAGCAAGAAGTTTTATTATATTTTTCAGCGTTGATCTTCAGTCCCGCGAAAGATTATATCAACACTGCATGTACATAGATAGGAGATTTTAGAATTTAATTGAGTGTAGTAAGGAGTAGAAGCTACTACCAAACTAATGCTTTCAGTATTTTTGATAAGAAGTATTTTGTATACAGTATGGTAGAGCTAACTGCATGTATATACGAGGAATGAACCGCGTAACTGCAAGAGTTCTCATGTTACAAATTTCTGGTTGATCTTGAGGATCAGTTAGCTTCCGATTTGAAATCAATTTTTCGAAAGTGTTTTCCCCCATTTATGCATCGTTGAAGGCGAGACCCACAGAGCCAGTTCTCGGTGGAAGCACCCACTAAATTCAAGAATCTTATAGCACACATAATGTAATGCATAAGTTATATGACGCATTTATCTTCTACCTCTTTTCGATAAAGTAGATTTATGGGAACTATGGCCAACCAGCTCACGCTTGCCAAAACAATCACAGAAATAGGTCATTTGCTTTCTAGCGACCCGTAGCATCGGGGAGACCTACATTTGTTAAAGATGGCTATCTTAAAGATGGGTTCTTCGTGGATTGCTCCGAATTGAAACCTTCAGGGCATTCTTCTTGGTTGGGGTTTTCTGGGTTTCGAAAATGTCTTTTTCGACCGTTCCTTGTCAATCTAAATAGTCTCCAGGAATCCTTTTCTAAGGTCATGCAAATTAATCACTTGGCTGTACCCAAGGAACAAATAACCTTCCGAAGTGTGCGTTTACAGGTCACCTCGAAAAACATATAATAAGAAAAACTTTGTCAATTGCCAACTGATTTTGCTCAAATTTTGCATACCATTGGGAATAGGGAGTACGCCATTTTTGACGACTCCATTTTTAAGTAGATGATTTTTTTCCGACTTATGGGCCAAAAATACCCTCCAGGAGGATGTTTCTTAGAGGATTCCTCCCAAAACAATTTCGATAGAGTAATTTTGTGAACCAGAACTCTAACAATCTTCAGACATAAAAAATATTATTTCGTATATTTATTGCTATATTTTTGCTTCCGCGAGTAACAACAACGGTTATCAAATGGCTGAGATAAGTCGGTTGGAAGTTTCCCAGCATTGCTTCACTGGGGGCTGTTGTGTTAATAATGCCAGCAATTCATTATGCTATGCATCCTTGTTAATTGATGAATAAAGGAAAAATTTAAAAAGTTGCAAAATAAAAAAAATAAAAAAACGAGATGCTTAGGTGAATAGTACATATATAAGGGCAACGAAAAGTTTAAAATAAAATTATTAAAACGATAATAAAGTTACATATGTGCGTCACCGCCCGCCGTATTTTTTCTTTAATTTTTCTACCGCTTTCCCGTTTTTTTTCCTTCCTGCTTCGTATTTTTTTCTTTAATTTTTTCCCCTCCTTTCCGTTTTTTTCCTAACCGCTTCGTATTTTTTCGCCCTTTTTTCTCCCTCCTTCCCTTTTTCCCCTTCCCGCTTCGTATTTTTTCTTTAATTTTTCTACCGCTTTCCCTTTTTCCCTTCCCGCTTCGTATTTTTTTCTTTAATTTTTTCCCTCCTTCCCGTTGCTTTCCTCTCAGCTTCGTATTTTTTCGCCCTTTTTTCTCCCTCCTTCCCGTTCTTTTCCTTCCCGCTTCGTAGTTTTTCGCCCCTTTTTTTCCTTCCCGCTTCGTAGTTTTTCGCTCTTTTTTCTCCCTCCTTCCCGTTTTTTTCCTCCCCGCTTCGTATTTTTTCGCTCTTTTTTCTCCCTCCTTCCCGTTTTTTTTCGTCCCCGCTTCGTAGTTTTTCGCTCTTTTTTCTCCCTCCTTCCCGTTTTTTTCCTTTCCGCTTCCTAGTTTTCCACCCCTTTTTTTCCCTCCTTCCCGTTTTTTTCCTTCCCGCTTCGTATTTTTTCGCTCTTTTTCTCCCTCCTTCCCGTTTTTGTCTTTCCGCTTCGTATTTTTTCGTCAATTTTTTTTCTCGTTTTTTTCCCGTTTGTTTTGGCGACAAAAAAAATTTTGCGGCCGCCTTCGGCGTCCGCAAAATTTCCCGGTATCCTCAATACCTGGATACCAAGTTTTTTCCACCAGCGAGTATGATGTCAAAAAGTGGAATAAAATGAACTCAATTGAGTAAATAATTTGGGACGAAGAAAGAACAAATAATACATAATTAGAAATAATAAATGACTACTTAGCACACACAATTATTCCCAGATTGGTTTTGATTGCTCAGGAATAAATCTTTCTTTACCCTACACAGTTTGTTGTAGAAATTTATTTTTGATCTACTTGTAAAAATTGTAGCTGAAAACTACTACAGTTTTTGTAAAATTATGCATTTAAATACATCTTGTGGCTTAATTGGGTATTTAATTGGATGTAGACGAGAACTGATTCAACAAAATCACAAATTTCATGGTCTTTATTTATATAATTTATGATATTCTAATTAATAATAAATATTTCATCCATGTTGTTCTAAATTAATCTCTGGATTACTAAAATTATCCAATTATCCAAAAGTTAAACTTAACTGTTGAAATTCTTTATATTATTTAAGCCCGACAACTACGATCCATGCGGATTGAAAACTGCAAATGCATTTTAAGTAGCGTGAAAACAGGACCTGTTTTTACATGAATTGAAGAAGATTATAATAATTAATTCGGTAAATTCAAATACAAATTCTGCTCGTTTCGAACACGAGAACTTTAATTAGTAAATTGACAAGTCGAGTCGATTAAGTGAGTAAAACGTTAAAAAATGTAATGTTAAATCATCCTTTTACATTTTGTCCCGTTGGCTTTGTCAAAACTGGAGTTACATCCGGCTTAAAACTTTCACCGAGAAACATGTTGGGAATATTATTTCCAAAATACATCTTCGTATTTGTCGTTATGGCTTCGATTCGTTTAAGTTCGAGGTATTCCGGCGTTAAAATTAGGGAATTTCCTTCACCCAACTTTTCTTTTCGGTAACGCTCCGCATCCGCGTGCATTTTTTCTCGGTTAAAAAACATCTCATCCTCGATGGCGGCCATCGTTTTGAGGGATTCTTTCTCCAGGACGCGTTGTTCTAGTTGGATTTTGGCCACTTGTGCGTTCCGCTCGGCCTCAATGACGGCTTTCTTCCGGTCCGTTTCGGCATCCTTTTCTACAACCTTTTGTTTCTGAGTGGATATCAGGAGCCTATGAATTTGTGGGAGAAAAGAACTTTCAGTTGGGAATGAGATGAGAGATGGAAATTATAAATTCTTATAAAATCCAAACCAAGTCAAAATTATTCAAAGATATATGTAATGTGTACCGCTCTAAATATCCACATTCAAAATAACGGATTTAGGAATACAGGCTAAATCCGTTATTCCAAAATGTCAATCGAAAATTTTTCGATTGAAAAAATTCGCAAATTTCCTTTGGTTACTGAAATTTTGTCTGTGAAATTCAACATTTTGTCATCAATGTTGCCATCAGTTTTGATGTTAATAAAAATCTAAATCCAAAATCTTGTAACTAATGGAAATTTAGGGGTTTTTCCCATTGAAAAATTTTTCATTGAAGCGTGACATTTTTTGACCACCCTGTATAGGTATTTACTGACGCGGGAGGATTTAAAGGTCTCACTTTGTTTTTTCAGCCTCCATCAACTCATAATTCCTTTGTATCTCGGATGGAATTCTGGGCTAAATTTTATCAAAAGCAAAATTAGCAAATATTTTAACATATTTGCAATTATCTACTCAGCTTCTCGCATTTTACTTACCTTTGTCACACGAACTGCTTGGATGTGCAAGCCTGGTGCCATAACGTTCAAATCATTTTGCAAAGTACTTTTCAAATTCTCATCAATCTTGTCAAAAAGATCGATATAAACCTCTTGCAAAGTGTGAATCGAGCAAAATTGATTTAGTTCATGGTGAACCTTGTTGAAGATAAGGGCCTTATCGTAATCCGCGGTATAATTCTTGACCACATCCCAAGCATACCGAGCTGAGAGGAGGTTTACTACTTCAATCCGATCAAAGTAAATCATCGCACCGCCGGAAGTTCCGCAAGGAACGTCTCTGACTTGATCGGTTTGAAGGGTGATTTGAATCGAGCGGTAGGTTGTGAGCAATGGTATCATCACTTGGAAGCCGGGGGTTGAAGTGGATTCCAAGAGTGCTCCTGCCCGGTAATATACTCCGATATGACCTACTCCAGAAGATAATACAAATTTTACTGTATTAAAAGCTCACAATGCGATGGTGTGAAGTGTAACCCTCCGATTTAGTTGAGATTTTGAAATTACGTGGTCCAAGTCAATACAACCAATGTTTTTTCAGGCAGTTTGTGCGATGGTCAGAATTTGGCAAAATGTTTGAGGGCAAAGTTGAAAAACGTGCGATTTTTACCAGGAAGAAGATGCAAACTCGCCTTCCATTCTCTTCACGTACTACAGATAAAAATTGCACATTTTTTAACTTTATCGTCAAATACTTTGGGAAATTATGACCATCGCACAAACTGTCTCAAGAAAAGTTGGTTGTATTGACGTGGACCACGTAATTTCAAAATTTCAACCAAATCGGAGGGTTACACTTGACACCATCGCATTGTAAGTAAAAGTGTATTTTTGAGGAGGGAATTAAGAAGTTAGGGACTGTTTGACATTTATTTTAATAGTTAAATATGTATGACCTTCTTCAATTTCGTGGCAACTGGCGACTATCAGACCGATGAAGATAGCAACGCCGACGACGAAAATGCCAATCCCGATTCCTTGCCGAGCACTTTTTACGGATAAAAAAATACATTGAAACATAGCATTCAGAACAATCCGGTAGTAAAGCAGTTACCACCACTGGCTTGTACAGTAGATACGTGTATGTATTCAACAGTACCACCGAATGGTAGTAAATTTTTTACCAATCTGGTTCTACGTTTTACTCCGTAGTTGTACACTCTTAGCAAAATTGGATTGAATCATCACCAAACGGAGTACATATATGACTTAACCGGAGCGGTGAAAACGGGCAACACCGCATAGTGAAAAATATACACCGTTGTGGTGATGAAACCTCACCACTCGGAATCGAACTGCTACCAACCCGGGGAAAAATTATCACCAAATCAATACCATCACGGAGTGTATATATGTCAGACTTCACCACTTTGCTCAGAGTGTAGTTACTTACTAGCTGGGAAATAACATTTGATTATCTAGTTCATACATATATTTGTGGTAGAACCATGTGATAACAGCCAGCACTGGTAATACTTTTGTTACCGGATTATTTTCGGTGTAATGGTTGGTAAGATAATAGTGCAATTAAGTTTAAGTTGTAGCTAAACTATGTACCTGATGGCGATTGGCAACACATTCTCCGTATCGTCCGGCATTTTGAGATTTATTCAGTCGAGTAGTCGTGTTGTATGTAATTTGCAACAAGTTGACACAGGACGGGAAGAAATCACCTGTTTTATTTATTAAATAGTAAAATTTCAAAAATGCCAAAATTAGAATTCTGAAAATGTACTGGATTTCTCAGCTTTTTTGTTTGATGTTAATAATTTCATGCATGCACATAATTTGTGATTTTACCTCTTCATCTGCTGTTTCGTTGATTTGATAAGAATCCGGTTTTCATTACATACATTTTCAGCTTTTGTCTCATATGTAAACATGTATTGATTTGAATCAAATTCTGCGAAATATTTGCCCAATTAGTATGAAATTTTGGATTCTGCAAATATAAATGTTAAAAGTATTGGTATGTATGTAAATAAATACTTCACTGAAATATCTGTAATATTAGTACATGATTTATCGCAAGCTTCCACAGGGTCGCGCTTCTTTGTTATTAATTTGTCACGTTAATTAAGCAGTTTCGAAAATGTTTTGTGGAAGATATTATTTTTATAGTATATTATCTTTCTAATTTTATATTAATGCGTAAGAAATATTTAGTTCCAAGACCCACTTTCACTTTCCGAATTTATCTGTAATTAAGTACAATTTATTATATTCTACACACAAAATTACGTAAAACACAGGACTTAACCCGAAACAGGAAAAACCAACCGGGTGATGGGTATATATGAGAGTGTGTACATATATATATGTACCCGTACAATAACTACGTATGAATGTCCGTTAGAAAGAGAAAGTATCACATCTGCTCATCTCCTTTGTCCTGGTCTGCTCCGGGTAGGGGATCCAGTACTAAAGCTCGTGCATTCCTCACATTACATAAGTATGTATGTACATGTTACATTTTAATTATTTTAGACAGTGGTGGACCAAATTGCATGGAAACACTCTTAAAAATCCGAGAAGGTAAGAATGTTGTGGTATAATAATGATTGGATAGTTGCGACTCCTTCACTGTAAAGCATCCGGAAGTGTCACATATGTACTCCGGGTTGGTATTGATTTCGTAATAATTCATTACTGGATTTGTTATAGTTTGATTCTGAGTGGTAGCGAATTCATTACCACCACATTACTACGCCGTAACGATTGATATTACCGATGCCGGTAGAGTCATATATGTACTCCGTTCGGTAATGATTCGTAATAATTCAATACCAGTTGCCTAAGAGTGTTCCGAATTTATTCCCTACTCGCTGTAGTAAGCTTTTGATTGCCAATTATACTCGTAAGTGGTATTGATGGTAATGATGGTTATTACGTACCCGGCAGAGTCACGAAATTATGTAAATAAGCTATTACTAATGTGCTGTCAAGTATGTAGCATCTGGCAGGAGGCGAACATTTTTAGCAACGCACCAAATGAGATAAATAAATGCTTACTTAAATTAAATTATTTACTTAAATTAATTCTGTGCGGGACCTACCCAGGAGTTAAAGTTGGGGAACAGGCAAGAATCTGTGAATAAGGGGAAGTCCGTGAAGCACAGAGGGAACGAAATATCGAAAAATTCGTAGGAAACGTAGGTATTAAATTGATAAAAAATATTTTCAAATTTCTGGTCAATTTTCGACTTTTTTTACGTTGTGTTTCACAGACCCACAGACTCTTCCTTGTTCCCAAACTTTTTTCTCGGGGCACGGTGCTCCGCGTATAATATTTTCGATTTTGTTTAGAATACCAGGATTAATTTGACATAATAAAAGTATAGTTGGTTATGCAACAGCACGGATGACTGGGATCAAAACTTTATTGATTTTTATTCGAAGTAATACATCGTTATTTAAAGAAGACGATTTTGGTCTCTGGACGATTACAGACTTTCAAGCAAGAGCGCAATTCCTTGTCCACCACCAATACAAGCTGAGCCAATTCCATGCTTGACCCCACGTCGTCTACAAAGATTAAAATGGTGTGTTAATCGTCTCATAATTTCCAAAGTGAACTGTTTGTTTCATTTCCAAAACAAAAACAAATTGCACACAGTGTAGACAGCGGAAGGTAGAATCTACCATGGCGAGCTACTAAATTGTTCAAAAATTGGCCACATATTTTTTATAAAATCAGGATATTCTCTCAACCAAATTGAAAATCTTTCAATTAAGTACAAGCATAAGCGGGCAACCGTGGGGACAGTGGGGACAAAAACCATGATTGGAATTTGCAATCTGCAATTTTCAAATTATTGTGATGGCATGTATTATGTAAATTAAGGTCAATATTTATATATCAACACGCCCTGAGTCCATGAGGACATTGCCCATATGTCACTAGCCTTCCGCGGCCATTGGCACATAAGGAATTCGTTAATTGAGTAATCTTTTTTTAGAATTGGTACCACGATGTCATGACTATCATAAAGACATAATTTACATAATAGCACATAATTTACTTCAACTCTTGTACAAGGTGAGCTGTGATCCTGGAACCGGAAGCTCCGACGGGATGCCCAATCGCAACTGCGCCACCATTCACGTTTAATTTGGCCGGATCGATGTCCAGCTCTTTCTGACAAGCCAACGTTTGTGAGGCAAATGCTTCATTAATCTGATTAAGGGATAAATAGATTCATACATCTTATACGATAAGCTGGAAATGTCTGTGGGCAACGGAGGTGGGAGCAAATATTCCGCAACGGAAGTGAAACTAAAGAAAGTGAACTTTCTAATAGAAAATTGAAAATACAAAATTGAAAAAAAATAAATTTAGAAAAATGACTTAAGTCTCATGGTGGTAATCCTGGGGTAGTTAGCTTGTGACGTTTAATAATTAGACATCAGCCGTTTAATTTATTTGAGTTTTGGCTCCAGTAGAAACTTGAAAATTTACTTTCTTTACTTTTACTTTCGCTTCGTTTCCAACAGACGTTTTCAGTTTATGGTTCTCGCTCGCCCGGAGAGCGACGGGCTTATACGCTAGTAAATTTTATATACTCTAGAATTGAATACGAATCATACCTCGATAAGATCAATTTGGGCTAAGGATTTCCCAGAAATTTTGAGTAATTTTAGTATCGCTGGGACAGGTCCGATGCCCATAATGTGCGGCTCCACACCGGCGATCCCGTACCCCACCAGGCGGGCTAGTGGGGTCAAGTTGTATTCCGTTAAAGCAGCCTCACTCGCAATTATGACGGCTCCCGCCCCGTCGTTTATTCCCTAGAAATTATAAGAAATATGTAAAAACGTGCGAAATGGCTTAAACATATATGTTCACATTCATTCATTTAATCATGAATGAATAAATTATTCATTCAATATTGAAAATTTGAATGAATATTTTATTCTGATTTGTGAATAAATGAATATTGAGTGATTATCTATTCAATTCGTCTGAATAAATAATGAATGAATATTTTTTTCGTCATTCATTTTTAACTCAATGCTTAATACATAGGGAAAGTTGAGAAATTCATCTAATACTGTGAATTTTGGATAAAATGACTAATGCAGGAATGTTGAATAATGAAAAAATGTTGAATAATTAATGAATATATTTTTTTACAAATTATGAACGAGTGAATAATGAATGCATATTTTTTCCAAGGCTTTGAATGAATGAAGTTTGAATGAATAAATATTTTTTTAACATGTATGGTCTTAAATTGAAAATAAGGAATTGTCTCTCACCGATGCAGTCCCAGCGGTGACGGTGCCGTTCTTTTTGAAAACGGCGGGTAGTTTGGACATCATCTCGAGGGTGGTGTTTGGTCTTGGGTGCTCATCCGTTGTAATGGATGTTTCCACGCCACCTTTGCCCTTTACGGTGACAGGAGCCATTTCCTTCGCAAAGAATCCTTGGTCGTTGGCTGAATGAATAAACGGGAAAATGAGACAGTAAATATTTGAGATTATGCTTAATGACAAACCAGCCTTCCACCGCTGCTGGGAGCGGAAGGAAAATTCATCAGCTTCCTGCCGACTGATCCCGTATTTTTCGGCCAAGTTCTCTGTGCAAAAAATTAAAATATAAATCTTCATTGTGTAATAAACTAACAAACACGAAGTTCGTATGAAAATGGGCTGGAGAAAATTGGCTATAATTTCTGATATAATTTTTATGATTTCTTCGAACTTGTAATTTAGGATTATAGAAACTATTTTGTGCAAAATCATTCCGCATAAACTTTGCTGCATTGGTGTTTCACATAATTCTGCACAATTCCTCCCATTGCAGGGCCAATTTTCGCTAGGACATTTTCATACTGACAACTAATAACCTGCAGTTCCACCCATATTTGTTTTGCAATACGAATCAAAGCCTGAACTCCACAAGTGGTCTTCAACCTTATAGTCGGCCCCTAACTTGGTCCCGAAGCGGATATTCCTCAGGTGAAAGGGGGCCCCACTCATGGACTCGCTTCCCGCAGTGAGGACGACTTTAGAGTCCCCCATTGTGATATCCTGCAGGCCAAATTGTTGCAAAAATTAGGTACGAAATATGTAAAATTAATCATTCAGAACATTTGGGTACGAACATGCGCTCCAGTGACGATGGCTTGGAATCCTGAGCCACACATTCGATTGACGTTGAGGGCAGGTCGATCCAACGGGATGCCACAGCGGAGGAGGAGGTGGCGGGAAATGAAGGGACCATCTTCAGAGGAGGACTGTGGAAACCACAATTAATATTGTTTTTTTTTCCTTTCGAGGCCTTAGGCCCATAAAGCACTAATTACATCACATCTTGAATCTGTGTACCAAAAACGATAAAATATAGTACAGATGTAACGCTTGGGTTAGTATTAATATTAAATAATGGATTAGTTTGAGTAATATGTAGGTCGATGCGTAATAACAGAATTCGGTTCTTCTAAATAAAGTAAAAATGGAAATTTTTAATAATTGGAATTTTCGACAAAATTTTGAAGTTTTATCATTTGCCAAAACCTTGAATTTTTAACAAGTTTAGGTTTTTTAACAAAATTTTGAGTTTTTAGAAAATTTTGAAAGCAGAATTAGCCAACGAGTCTCGAGGAGTCCAAACATCCGAAAATTAATATTTTCATAATATCTTTAAGATGTTGGGACAAGTCTTTAAGATATCTGAAGAGTATCAATACTCCGGACGTTTGGTGTTCTTAAAGATATGTATCATTACGATATTTTGTTGCAGATTGAGAGGATTTTGTACGTCACATGTATCGTCAAAAATTCAATTATGCAAATGTAACTACTTTTATGTACTCACACTGATAACATTCCCCACGACGACGGAATCAATAATTTCTGGATTCACATTTCCCGCTGCCAGCGCCGCTTTTGAGGCCACCTCGGCCAAGTCGATGCTCGTCTTGGATGACAATTTACCCCCAAAAGCACCAAATGGAGTTCGTTTAGCAGCCACAATAAATATCCCTGTAAAATTCTAGTAAATTATCCAATAACTCTTGTCAAGGGGCATTTCTCACTCAATTAACTTGTTACGGGTCCTAATACATAGTTACATATTTACCTTTCGTAATGGAAGCCATAACGTTGTATTGAAAATTGTAGGAAGTTTCCAAAGAATGTATTTAGTGCACAGGAGAGGATCTAAATTGATGAAGTAAAGAGTATATATGCTTTAAGATAACTGTTGCCAAGCTGAAATTGTACATATCTATGCATACATATGCACAATCAAACCAAACGAATGGTTTGATAAGATAAGGTCACGAACCAAATAATTATGTTCGTATGGCATGATCCAATTAACTAGAATGGTAGTGTATAGTGTTGATGAATGGTTTATATTATGTATGATACCAAATACTTATGCAGAATTGCCAAATATGCAGATGAGATTGTTGATGAGTGTCATATCATAAGTTAGATAAATGAGCTAATAATTCACCACATCGTTTCGTCCTGCCTCGTGTTAAATGAGATGAGGCGATGTGAGTTACCAGTCTCAAATGAGTGAATATGTCTTCTTTATTACATAAGTATAGGCTAATAAATTACAAAGACTGAAATATCTGGTAAGATAAGACAATTGTCATCCTCAGTTATCACGAATCGGTATTTATTTTCCCTTTCATTCGGTTGTATATCGTGATGCACAAATTATTCGTACATTATCTTGAAAATTTATTATAAATTTATGCAACCGAATTCAAATACTAATGAAGCAGATTAGTTCGAAAATGTATGTATTTAATCAAAATGGTAAGTAAAATGTGGGAGATTGTTATATTGAATCGAGTTGAAGAGATTGGAATAAAGTCTCAAAAGGCCTCAAATCATTATTTTGTATTTAGTTTTTTACACATAAAAAACATGTCGCACAAAATTCCATAAACCATAGTTCCACATGAAGGATGAACAATTATCTAACCAAACAAAATCCTAAATTTTTTCACAGGATTTTAACCATTGCGATTTTACGCGTAATAGTTAAAACGTACACTGGTGCATATTTGGAAACCATATATACATACAACTTTTTGATAGAAACGAAGCACTTATCAATATATATACACTGTAAAGCATCCGGTAGAGTCATATAAATATGTACCCGGTACAGGTATTGATTTGGTAATAATTCCCTACCATTTTGGTAATAGTTTGATTCGGAGTGGTAACGATTTCATTACCACCACATTACATACTAACCCGTAACGATCGATATTACCGATGCCGGTAGAGTCATACATACATATATGTCCTCCGTCCGGTAAGGACGCGTAATGATTCAATACCAGTTGCTTAAGAGTGGAGATACATACAAAAATATGTACATATGTGAAAGCAAAGATTGCAGAAAGCAGTTTTACCCAAGTCTGAACCTGTCCATAAAACGGTAACGAATATTTTCATGTTGTGTCACGTTCATGGTCATCACACGTGTGCATCCAACCTCGCTTACACACTATCTCCTCTGTAATGAGCGTTACGCAAAGTGTGCTCACTTTTTTGTGGATTTTTTTTAATCAGAAAAGCTTACAGTGTTTTTGCATATGAGGTATTACATTCCTTTAATCGCACTATGCGAACACGGTTCGATAATATGTAAATATGTAATAGTGGCCAGGAGGATATGTATAAAAGCAGCTGTCCAGTATTACATTCTCAGTATTTATTAATCGTCCACCTTTGATTCACATTTTCTGAAATGGCCTATAAACTGTATTATTATGATATTCGGGGTGGGGCCGAGACGATTAGGATGATTCTCTCGTACGGTGGGATCCAATTTGAGGACATTCGTGCCCCCATGTTCCCACTCCCACCCAAGTTGCCCACGGAAATTAAGGAAAGTAAGGAATAATCATTATTATCATTTTACTTTGGAAGCAATAATACCGGTGACATTTTTGTTACAGGGGCAGGATTTGGTTATACTGTACATTTTTAATAATCTGGTTATCTCACAAATATAATTATTTCTGATTAATAAATTTGCTACAACTTGGAATTAATTTTCTACCAGTTGACAAAAATTTCTTACCGGTGGCTAAACCTTTGTTACCAAGCTGATACGACATGGTATCATGTATGTGCATGTGCAGCTGGGTAATAATGTATAGCCAGCTTACCAGAATATAAAAAATCCTTAAAAACAAATTTTGTATGTAGTGTGTAAAAGTATTTAAACTTTTGTTCCCTTCAGGAACGACCTGGGGAACAATTCCACTGATGGAGTTCGAAGGGAAAAAACTAAACCAGTCGCTTGCAATTACTCGCTACTTTGCCAAAAAGTTTGACCTTGTCGGCTCCAACGACTGAGGCCGCACAATGTGATGAATACGTCGACACCGTGGTGGACTATGTGAAGCGTATGAATTATTTGTTAAATTAACAAATTTGCGATAAAATTTCATGTAGCATCGTATTTAAATATGTGTTGGGTCAGACGTGAAAAACTACCCGTCGTTCACCGTACCACGAAAATGAAGTGAAGGGTGGAAGGAAAAGATAACTAAACTTTGCTGAAACTAAACTGAGAAGAGCACGATGTCCAACTCGACACAGCGGTACACTGCACATGTGTATAGCACAATCCAGCACTTCTTTCCGTCATTGAGGTAAAGCGGTCCCGCTAAATCGACGCCAGTGGTACTGAATACTTCGCCCACGGTGACACGCTTCTCTGGTAACGCCACTGGATTAACTTGAAAGGGTTTGGCATCAAATCTTCTACAATTGGCACATCCTCTGATTGCTTGAGTGACAGTTTTTCTAGCTTGTTGGATCCAGTATTTCTCCCTGAGTTTTCCAACCGTAAACTGCACTCCTCCGTGCCCGTGAAATCGATGCATCTCTCTGATGAGCTCCTGAACTAATTGACATTTTGCAGGTAGCAGCATCGGAAATCGGAATCCATCGCTGTCGTCGGAATATTCTAACTTGGTCCGTACATGCAGCAAATTGTCCTCCATCAAAATTACTCTTGGTTGCACTTTCTTCGCATCAGGAAAATATTGACGTTGTAATACACGGATGAGTATTACCTCTGCAAATCTGAGTTCGGGCGGCGTCATGAATTTAGGATAAGGTTTCTTGACTGCTCCTTTTCCCACGAACCTCAAAATATACGCCAATACTCTTACATTCTTCTGATATGATGCAAACTTGGTGCTGAAAAGGGGGGAGTCGTGTCTCGAGATTAAAGTCAGATTAGACTTCTTCTTCTCTTCTTGCACCAAAGCCTCGACGACACCTTCTTCTTTAATGGGGGGCCAGGCTTCTTTTGACAACTTCAACCATGCTGGTCCCTCCCACCACTTCGAATTCAACAGCTCGGTCGGCGAACACCCACGAGACGGAAGGTCTGCCGGATTCTGCTTTCCGGGGCAATGTCTCCAGTCTTCTTTATTGGAATTCTTATTTATTTCCTTAATACGATTGCCCACAAAAGTATTCCATATCTCGTCTCGCCGAATCCACTGTAACGCTGTTGTTGAGTCACTCCAGAAGTAACTCTTCACATCTTCATATCCGAGGGCGTTCTTCACTGTATTTGCTAATCTTACACCAATCAAACATCCCATAAGTTCCAATCGAGGAATTGTTATTTTCTTGTTATTCTTCTTGGGATCTTCTTTCTTCATTGGTGCCACCCTGGACTTCGCCATCAATAGCTGGACACACACATTACTCTCTCTGGTCGATCTGGCAAACACCACTGCTGAATAAGCGTTCTGGCTGGCGTCTGTAAATGTGTGAAGCTCCAGGTCATCAATACTTCCTACTGCCCATCTTGGAATTCTGATCTTGCTTAATACTCGTGCCTCCTCGCACCACGTCTTCACTTTGTTGATGGCTTCTGTACCCCATAACTCATCCCATTTCAAATCTTGAGCCCACGCCTCCTGCAACATAATTTTCAATTGGAGCACGGTGGGGGAGGTGAAGCCGATCGGATCAAATACTTGAGATGCGATGGATAGCACGGTCCTCTTAGTTACGTTCAAGTCTTCTTTTCCCAAGTGGAGTGGAAGATCACAAAACATTTCATCCTTTGACTTGTCCCAATTATAGCCCAGCACCCACGTCACTTCTCGTTCCATCTTATCATCCGCGTTGGACTCCCATTCGCGAAGATCCATCTTAGCGTGGAGGAGAATTGCTGTTGACTCGGCTCTAAATTCCGTATATTGGCTAATTGATTCAAAGGAAGTCACACAATTGTCGACATACAGCGACCTCAACAGTTCCATTCCTGCCTTCTTGTCTTCTTCTGGTAAATGCAGGAGATGGAATTCAAGAACAGCAGCCAGTATGAATGGACTGCAGTTCATACCGAATACAACACGACAATGTTGATATTCTTGCACTACTTTGGCTTCAAAATCTTTCCACCACAAGAAACGTTGAAACTTCCGGTCCTCTTGGTTCACTCCAATCATCTGGAAAGCCTTGCGGATGTCTGAAATGACTCCCACCTTCTTTGCCCGGAACCTGATAAGTATTTTCGGAATTATTTCCAGCAAATTTGGGCCTTTCTCGAGACATTGGTTCAATGACGGATAATTTCCAACTCTACACGACGCGTCGAAGACGGGTCGAACTGGTGTGGTCAGACTTTCTGGCTTAAAGACTGGCCGGTGAGGGAGATAATGTCCTGTGGGCTTTTCTTCTCGATCAAGACGCTCGATGATACCTTCTTTCTCCCAAGCCCGAAAAATGTCGTAGTTTTCGAATTCACCCTTTGTCACGACTCTGGTTGAAGTGGATTCGAGTCTCTGCATAGCAACATTTCGATTGTCCGGGATTCTCATCGACTCGGTAAGCCACGGCAGTTTAATGACATATCGCCCATCCCTGTCCCGCTCCAAGTTCTTCTGAAATTCTTCTTTAACTTTTGCTTCATGCTCATCTTGAGTGCCTTTCTGTATTGTATCACTAATTCCAAGAGTGTCCAGATCCCATAAAGCTGATAATTCCTTGGTTCTGGTGCACATAATAATACTTCTGGCTGCCAAGGTCTGACTCTTCTGTTTCGGCAGCTCTCCATTCAGGTACCACCCAATGGTTGTTTCGGTTGCGATCACACTTGTATTCAATTTGACCATCCTTCCTGTTACAAGTCTTCCTATTAAATTGGAGCCGATCAGGATGTCAATGTTGTGAGAATCAACGTAAGTGTCTGTAAGGACAACATTCAGCTTTAGCAAATCTTTTATCCAAGGGCCAACGGGAATTGGAGCACAGTCGCCACAAATTGTCCTTGCACTAAAAAGTGGTATTTCCTCCGTCTTCTTTAGCATATTCTTCCCTGCAGGTAGGCCTTCTAACTTCACGTTGTACTGCTTTCTCTCACACACATCATATCCACCTCCAAATACTGTTGTGAAGACTTTCTTCCCAATCGGAGTCAAATGAAGCTCTTCTGCAAATTCCTCTCTAATATAACTGATGTCACTCCCCGAGTCAATCAGTAATCTGGCCTCTCTGTACTGATTCTTGTTGCCAGAAACTTTAACCCTCATTATTCCTCTGAGGACGACCTTATCTTCATTAGTAGAGGTCTTCATTGCTACGGTGGGTTGAATATTGGTCATTGTTTTAACCCCATCAGTGACCGCCTCTTCTTCTTTTGATTGCTTATGGCTGCACATCACCTGATGATGAGGTTTCTCGCAAATGAAACACTTCACTTTTCCTTTGCATTTGCTTGCAACATGATTTCTCTTCAAGCACTTGAAGCAAGCTCTTTGTTCTTTAATCTTCTCATTTTTTTCATCCATCGACATCTTTCTTGCTTTATAGCACTCTGGGCTATTGTGTCCCGTCTTATCACAAAATATGCACGAATTGGACTTGTCGGAAGTGAATAGTGCAGCCGCTGTTGCAGGTGACTCGGATCCTCCCAGTTTCTTTGGATCTCGTTGACCTTTCTTGCTTAATTTATCCGGGAGTACATTTACACCGAAACCATCTCTTGCCAAATTAATTTGTTGCTCGCTCCGCACTTCCGTCTCACAGAACTCCACCAATAATGACAGCTTTGTTTTCGGTGGGTCCATTAAACTTCCGTTCTGTCGGGACATCGGGTTCCTCTGCCAGGCGCGTAACACTTCCTCAGGTAAACTAGATTCTACCATGGGGAACAAGAATGTCTCAGGGCTTGCATTTCCAATATTCAGCGATTGCAACGCCCGTAGATGAGTCTTCATCAAGACGAGCAAGACGAGCTTCGATAACGGGAACTTTTCCTTGTTAGTCACATTCTTGATAATAAGTCCCAAGAGCTCTCTCACATAAACTTGAATCTGGACGTCATCTCTACCATACTGTTCCTTTGGTGCCTCCACTGCTAAAGGATAATTCTTGTCGGTGGGTGGAAATCCGTCTACTATTTCTGCTGCCTCTGTTCCTTCGGTCATCGACTGTCGTAAGTACTGGAACTTCACACTGGAATGCAGCCCTTCATCGTCGTGGATTTGTCTAAAGTACGACCACCAACCTAACCAGTCCTTAAGCGCCCCACTAAACTTTTTGATTTCTGTTTTAGGCAACTTATAGGTTCTGTTCTTTTCACTAATTTTGTTCTCATCGTTGTCAGATGAACTGGACTTTGCATCACTATCATGTCCATTCTTCTTCATCCAACCTCTGATTTTCACCATGCCCAGCTTGATCTTGTCTTCATATTCTGCAGCACAATCCGTCTCTGCGTTGACTAATTCCTCATCGTGTTCACCAGCAATCATGGAGTCGAGATACTCGTTGTCTAAGGCACCAATGGTCACTTTGAGATCATCTAGGGTCTCCTTGTGGCAAGTAAGCTTCTCCAGTGAAGTGTCCTGTTTCGCCAGCTCGTTCTCAACGTCTTGAAGCAAGGTGACCCTCCTTCTGACGGCGGTCCTCTTCTTCTTAATTTTATCCATGGCGGAGATTCTATTGAATTAGCAAATTCGACAAAGAGCACAAATTAGAATAATCCACGTGACTTAGATCACTGAACGGTACGACCTGAACTACCCCCGAATGCTCAGGGTAGGGCCCACCAAGTGGCAATTCCGAATCCAAAAATGATCCAGGTCTCTAACGCCAAATCCTCTTTGCGGTCGTCGTCACCTCTGCACGGCTTAACTAATTTCTTCTGATCCCTCCACGGATCACGTCGAGGTCACCAAAATGTTGGGTCAGACGTGAAAAACTACCCGTCATTCACCGTACCACGAAAATGAAGTGAAGGGTGGAAGGAAAAGATAACTAAACTTTGCTGAAACTAAACTGAGAAGAGAATTTAACGTGAACTAAGTTAGCAATAACTTTTGTTGACACCTCACAGGGATTTACTCATTTACTCAAAACTATTTATTGCAACAATTAAATTGATCACACTCAAGAAATTAATTATAAAGATCAATTATCAAAAACTTTTTCATTCCCTCTCACTCTCAGCAACAAGACTAAATTTATAACAAAGAAAAAATGCCAATCACTCTCTTTCTCGCACGTAGGCTTTAGACCGGCACATACAAAATTATTGGGAAATATGAGAAACACATACATACTAAAATAATCAAATTCCACATATGTATGCACGCACAATTTCGTGAACTTATTTACATATTTGCGAAACGGGTGCCAGTACAACCGCCCAACCAAAATTTGTTTTCTTCCAACCAAAAGTAATAATTTTGGCAACATCGAAATTTGCAACCAATCGATTTTTTGTCTAACTAAAATGTAAAATATTACAGCCAGATAATTGATATTTATGTGTTAAAGAAATTGCCTTAATTTTGCGAACTTACATATTTGCTAAACGGATAAGTTAGGTGACAGGGTTTAGAAATACAAAATCTTTGGAAAGGGAATCACTTTATTTCAGCGGTCAAAATGATATCGCTTTTCATTAACGTTTTTATGTAAGTAAACTGCGAAAGAAGAACAGGCTAACTATTGGCAAAGCTTGCAGACAAATGTACATATGTACTTACATAAGTAGATATTTTAAATGGAAGAATTTTCGAAATTTAGCACGATTAGCATTTCCTCTAACGATGCAAGGAACTACATAATGTTCACTTAAAGTGATTCTGCGACACTAAATGGCTCTACCTCGATGCTCACGATTTTATTATCAAAGAGTTACAATACCTTCTGTGATAATAAAATTTCGCACAGATATTATTTCCTGAATAGTAATAGATTTGAATTTCTACGAACTGTTTTTTAATCTTTGGTGACAAAACCCTTGTGAATACTTATGTATGGTAACATGTACATGGTAACTGATAGCAAAATGAGCACCGTGAAATTTCTACCCCCTTATTCTAGCAAATTATTAAGAGTATATTAACAGCTAAAACTGATAATTTATCAGTTTTAGTTTGTGTCAGAAAACTACATAAAATATGTTGTTTTTATGCAGATGATTAATTTTTTATTTCTTAATTTCTCTCTAAGGGTTATGATGGTTATTAAAGCTTACTTCCTAATTGATACTTTGTCGTAGGAGAATGTCTTTTTGTAATGCGAGAAAGATTAAAATTACTTATATTGAAATTATGTAGGGCTTATAATCTTCGTATCATTTTTTAAATACCAAATGACCTCATGCATACTCAGAAAAATAATTACTAACTTCCAAATAATGCTGTGAAATAAAATGAGTTTGCAAAACTTTTGAAATTCGAGCTTGACTTGCACTTGCAGGGTCAAATCTGGCAATAATATTTTGTATTTTGAAATGTATTTTAAATACGTATTTTGTATTTTGTATTTTTAGATTTCGGCGATTTTGGGCAAAAGTATTTTGTATTTTGTATTTTGATGAGATTCGAGTATTTTGTATTTTGTAATTATATTTTGAAGGTTCACAACAATGTATTTTGTATTTTATAACCCATGTATTTTGCCCAACCCTGCTGATAAATTCGTTGATTGCACAGCTTGGGTTCCCATCCTGATGGAGCAGGACGACGTCAAACGGAAGCGGCTGGAACAGGAGCAGAAGGTTAAATCCAAGGATCAGTACATGGACAAGTTTGAGAAAATCGTGAAGGACAACGGGGGCCGTTTCCTCGTGGGAAATAAGTTGAGCTGGGCAAACATTTATCTGGCACATGTGCTCAACAGCGGGGAACTAAATCATGGGATACGATTTATTGATGAATATCCCGCCCTCAAGTCGATGTATGAAAATGTCATGAACACTCCAGGGATTAAGGAATGGATGGAGAAGCGGCCGGATACCAAGTACTAAATTTTGCAAGTGTGGCGCAAATTTTTGGTATATGTACAGAATTAAATCATTTGTCATTTGCAAAATAATGAAAATAAGAGATTAATTAAATCTGGTTCAGCACAAAATTGAATTTGGTGTAATTTTATTTTTATCGGGAAACTGCAGAAAACTGGTTCTGGCATGTGCAAATCTTTCAATGTAGAAGGTTTGACTTTCTAATGTGAATTCTTGTCGTGAGCAATAAATAACAAGTATGATCACAACGAGACTAGAACTCAGTGACTACTGCCTATTCCGAGATTTTTGAAAAAGCTCAGTGGGTGGAGATTTCGACCATTTGTGAGGTAAAAGCAACAGTTTTGACTTTTTGTCTAAAACCATTCATAAAACTGGGGCAGAGGTTTTTAATGCAATCGGACCAAGCGCGTTGACCTCGTAAGGGAGTAAAGGAATTCTACTAAATTGATGAATGATAAGGTGAGTATCCAAATTTTATTGTGGGATCATGGTTGACACAAAGACTTACGCCGGACCCCTCGTATACGAAACTTTGAGTGGCTAATTTTGATTTACACTTTGAATTTTCATCAATGTGAGGGTGACTCTCGTACTTATCAATGGCCCGACCCAGGAAAAAATCCTACTCGACATCACCAATATGATGGTCGGGAGGTGGATAAAGAGCATGTACGCCGTGAAGTGGCGACGTAGGTGGAAATCTGCAATGCCATGCATAAATTCTGCGATTTTTGTATGGTTTAATTTTCCCTCGGATTTTGTCATTGCTAAATTTTTAATATAAGGGACTTGTCTGTACCTACCGTAAAAATATATATGTTCTTGTTCAATAAGGGTAATGAAGTATTATCAATATTTACATAGGTTCCTGTGTACATAAACCTTCAATTTACCGATAAACTATTTATTACAAGAATTTAACAGTAAGTATATCCTCCAGAAACTTCTTAGTTGTCGAGTCAATCCAAAAAGTCTGATGGAATCTCTACTTGCGTATTTAAAGTGTTTGTAGTCGTGTGAATGCAGGGAGGGCTGAAAAGAAGGAAAATACATAGTGGGGTCATAAGTTCTCGTGAATGCATTTCCGGTAATAAATCCCAAAGTATTAGAGCTATCTGTTCGAAATTTTTATGGATTAACAAGGTATTAATATTGTTTAGAAATCATAACTTCTTTGTCAAGATTTCGTCCACGGGCAATTAGACAAGACATAACTCGTGACGGCCACAGGTCGATCGTGGTACGCGCCAATTTTCGTGCCAAAAGTATTTCAGACTTTTCACCGTTGGCAAAAAATTTAATAGAAAAAAAGGCCAGATATTTGTTGTACAGAAGTCTGACATCCGTTTAAGTATGCGGAAGTCAATACGAAGTCATCACCGTGGTGTGAATGGGAGCAAGTTGGCTGGAGAAATGAAATCTCTGTTTTTTACCGCAAAGGGTACAAGTTGAAGCCAAGAATTATTTTCAGAGTGTCCTAGAGACAAACGTTAATAACCTGAACCCTGGACCCTCCGAAAATCGCCATTGGACCTTTCAACAAGACTCTGCTCATGCGCAAGGTGCAAAATTGTCCAAAACTGGCTTCAGACGAATTTTCATGACTTTTTTTCATCCGTAGAACGGCGCTCAGTATCTGCAGACCTTAATCCTCTAAATTATGACTGGTGGTCAAAATTATAGGTACAAGTATGCTCTAAATTTCACCCAAGTGTGGAAGGGCTGAGGTCGCACTTACTGAAGATCTGGCGCTTTTCCCAGGAAATCCGTGCGTGCCGCGATCGAGCAGTTTTCGCCACGACTTATGTCTTGTGTACAAGCCCGTGGAGGAAATTGTGAAAACGAAGTTATGATTTCTAAACAAGATTAATACCTTGTTCATCCACAAAAATTTCTATCAGATAGCTCTAATACTTTGGGCTTTATCACCGGAAATGCATTCACGGGAACTTATGGTCGGACTATGTATACAATTGTGCATGAAAATCATAAGATTGGACAGAAATCCAAATATCTTACTTTCCTTCACAAGACTGGCTGATTTTTTCCCACTTTTCTACACACTTTGCGTCATTTTTCGGTGTTCGGGTGGCCCTGGAGGATTCTTTGCTGCACAAGTAGCTTTGAGCAACGAGGCATTTGGCCTTATCAATTTCGAAACCGCAGAAAAGGTCCCCTTTCTTCTTCAATTGTTCGGGACAGGAGCAAATTGTTTGAGCTGTTTGAGCTTCTTTGAGGAGTAAAGTTAGTGAAACGATTGCGAAAAACAGGACCAGATAAGATTGCTTGGACGCCATAATTTACGCCAGTTGGAAATATTTCTATTGTGGAATTTTGCAAATATTTTGTTCATGAATGAATAAGTCTAGAAAACTGTATGTGGGTAGCAAAAGCTGGTATTTTCTATTGTACAGATGTATATACGCAAATATCCAGATTTATGTTGCATTTATTCGCTTTGCATATCTCAATAAAACTTTATTTCGCATAGTTAAAACCATATCTCAAGATTTACAGTCCGATTGGGAGGATTAGATGTGTAGACATGGGTAAGTTAAATACATACTTAGTTCTCATTGTGAATAGGCTATGCTCTTGCAAGCAAAATTTATTAATTCACTCAATTATTTTACATGTCTTTCAATGGTTTCCCACTCTTTATATAATCCACTTGTTTGTTCATCCACTCCAGAACGGCTGGATTATCATCTTCAATGCCGACTTCCGAAGTGGACAAAGTGATGAGGAGAAGGTCTGCCATAAGAAAGCCGTACAAAGACATTTTCCCACTTTCCTGCCCAACAGCGCCCATCAGCCCCATGACGTCCTCGTATGAAATATCACGGTCTCCGGAAAAAGCATTTTTCACTTCGAAGGGGTCCAAATTTCCGCTTCTGTCCTTATCAACGGCAATAAAATTCTCCATGGATCGTTTGAGTCCGTTAATGGCATTTTCGTAGCCAAGAAATCCAATCCTTTCAGTTTCGGAACATCCTACAAATGACTTTATCCCAAGCCACCGAGTTTTCACCAAGATTGATACAACCGATAATCAGGTCCTTAAGCTCGTACCAACCGATTGTACCATTGGCATCGCAAACTTGATCGAAAGCCAGTTTCATCTCTGGTGAAGTACTATCCACCACCACAGGATTTTCATCGGATACACCCCCATCGTCTTTTATTTCATCTACCTCACATTTTTCATCGACCGTCGACGTATCACTTGTAGTAACCAAAATCTGGAAGCCTTGGTCTTGGCAGTATTCCTTACCACCTAAATGATAAACCGGGGGTTTTGTAATGAATTCAGGAATCCACAAGTTTGATTACATACCGTACGATACATATAATTTTCCACCAAGAATCTTTCCAACCGCAGTTGCATCATTGACAATTCCCTTGCCAACGTGATAAACAGAGCCATTGGGGTCCTTACCTGTAACCATGGAAATATGAAGTATACCAAAATAAATCCTCAAGTAAAATAGTACACTATAACTTTGCCAACCTCCAACAATAGCATTCTTTGGAATTGCCGTTGCCTGTGAGGCAACCCAAGAAAAGCAATTTTTCTCTCCAGTTAGGACCTTGAACGAAAGGACAACACGCTTAGCTTGTATTTAAACAGAATTAAGTAATTGTAAAGAAATTCAGAAATACCTCGTAGCTTGCTTTCCCATGCTCTGCGCCATCGTACGCAACGAAGGTACCGTAGCCAACAATCAACTTTCCCGGTATAATGCCATTCATATGTTTGGCCCGAGCTACGTAGACGTCGTGCTTCCCATCTAGTCCAGTCAATACCATATTCGATGGCATGGAACCACCATTTTTTGCTGCGATCCATTTGTGTCCAGCACCGTCAACATTTCCTGCTGGTAAGGATTCAACTGGTTTTGGGGCATCTACCGGCTTGGTCTCCTTTGCCTCATCGCTTATATGCCTTAACATACGAGTATAATAAAACAATATGACCCTGAAAACCAAGTATTCCAAACAAACCTGTAGCGAAGCACGTTTTGCGTAAACTGGCCTTGCATATTTGGATGCACTTTGTAGCATCCGGCAACAATGATTGTGCCTCCAAGGACGCATACACCAATCCCAAGCTCCGTCGAGCTTTTCCAAACCATGGCGGTAAAGTGACCAGTATGCATGCTAAACCCACCATGATTGTAATTGTAATGCTCGACTTCTTTATACCACGCTTTCACTGCTTCTCTGACAGCACATTTGTGCATATAATCGTCTGCACTTTCGGGCCACAAGTGCTTTATATATGCCTACGTATGTAAGATTGAATTTATTAAAATACATTTAATCCATATTAAAATCCCTTATCACCTTCGCCTGCGGACCACCCCAGAGATTTTCACCGTATCCCAGGCCGGAGGAATGGACCAGAGCGCCTCCGTGTCGAGCCAGTTTTTCGCAATAATTGTCTCCAGAATCGTTCATCTATGTACATGGCAGCAAGACACGTTATAAAGTTAATTTTTAAGCAAAGGGGGAAAAGTACGTACCCATTTTGCAAGTTTCAAGGCAGGAGCACCGTGCCTTTTCCTGTACCAGTTGTGGAGATACAGCCCATACTCATAGTAGTCTAAGTATTGAGGACAAAACTTTAGTTAGGTAAGGTCCTTAAGCATTAGTAATGGAAGGGGACTTACTTCCTTTAAACGAACTAGGTTTAATTGGAGGGTATTCAGAACACATCTTAAAGCTGGATATACAAGTGAATTGGATCGTTTTACTCCTGTATTTTGAGCTAGTCGCAGAAATAATTGTGTGTCTCTCTCTGAGCACTCGCGTTTATTCAGTAAGACTGGGTTGGAAGCAATTTATGTAATCCAACTTAACAGGGAGAGAGATCGACAGATCACAATGGTATGCGGCTTATCACCACATTATTGCTTCACCACATATCAATCACTGCTGATAAATGAATTTAGGGGTAGGGTAATCGTGGGTTTGATAACAGATTGGGCAGTTGAATTTATTCTGCTGAACTGACTTTATTAATCGTACGATTGTATAATTGCATCGTTATGACAATTCAGCATGAGCACTCATAATTTTTTTCTTATGTGATGTGAAAGCCGTTAAATGAGGTATTTGAGTTGGGCAGTGTATCTGTCATAACCAAATACACACGAATACCACAATATCCGAACACCTAGACACCATACCCGAGTAAAGGCCTATTTTTCATATTGCCCTAGAAATTCATAGGAAAGGTAAAACAACTCTCAAAAATTCGAATTACTATTTTAATCTAGATAATATGTCATTACAACTTATTGCTAATCTATCTGTATTTTACAGACATTCAGCATTTCATTGACTTATATGGTAATCATGATTCAATTCCAAATTTGAAGACCTTCACCTGAATTAACTAGAAGCTACTTGTTTATCACAATATTGAATACACGTTAGTTTTTACGTACTAAGAATTGAGCAATATTACTTATGAAAGTAGACAAATTACAGAAATTAAGGCGACGCCCGTAATTAATCACAATTAATTTTCCTCCTCATTTGCTAATGGATTCGGGACAAAACTCATTTCTTATTTCTCATAACTTTGTAGTGGTTCATTTCAATCCAGGCTCAATACATAAATAAAAAGTATAATTTTAAGCGTTGAATTTGGTGAAAAATGTCGAAATTTAATTCTAACAATGTAAAACATTTGCAGCCCATTAATCCCGAGGTTTTTACCTCAAAAGCGATTACATTTGATTTCTCCAAATTTAAGGAACCTACTCAAACAAAAATTTTTGCAACCAATGTTCTCGACGTTTATAAAATATTTCACAACATTTGTTACTATATTTGCATAATGCCATTTAAAATCGTTTACGAGGAATCGGTTGATGGCAAAGGTGAAGTAATTCAATTCCAGGAATCAAAATTTCAAAAGGTTCGAGTTTCTCTTCTTAAGTATGATATATTTTGAGATCTATAATAGTACTATACATTATAGTATCTAATTTTTTTCAGAGAATATTTTTCCTTCTGCATATCACCCATTTCTTCTACGCGTTAGCCCCCATTTTGGGGGCGCTTCAAGGAAGAGAAATCCAATATGATCCATCCCAATTCTACCATCTGTTGGCACGATTAACGGGGTTCTTTATGGTCGTCACGTTTTCAATCGGTTGTATGAGAGAGTCACGATTAAAATCATTTTTGACAAAGGTCCATGGATTTCGACAAACTCGTAATGGCCAGGTATTTATTTATTTCATTCTTTGGTGATCATTGGGTACATGGTGGTGGTACATCTAGGTAGGTACTCTCCATTCGCACACCGTAGAACTTTTACAGAAATTGAGATTTCTGAGAAACTACGACACTGCCAGTCTCAAAGTACCCCGTCAGAATAATTTAAGAGAATTTGAGACTGGCAGTGCCGTAGTCTCTCAGAAATCTCAATTTCTGTAAAAGTTCTACTGTGTGCGAATGAGTAGACGGCACGAGGAGGTTGTCCAAGCATGTAACTCTTGGCTTTCATAAAGGTCAAAATAACTTGCTGGTGGTCCACGGGTTTCCATTTTTTATTTTTGAAGGATATTATAGACTAATAATAAATCAATACGGTAGAGTTGAAGAAAAGCTCCTGTAGGCCAAAAACAAAAAATTTCGACACCTTAATTTTTGACGCTTATTGGGCTAATAAGTACTTCCAAAACCGATACAAACCTCTGAATACAACCCATTTGTGATATGTAGCTACTGACATAAGGTCGACAAAAATTCCCACCCTAATCTAATATCTCATAGGGTAATCAAAATATTTAAATAATAGCCAAATTTATTGATTATTTAAATCCATTTGTCTAATTTCTTTTGAGATTATTGGTTAAAAAACTGTGGAACACTCCATTGGATTTATCATTTCATTTGACTTACACGAGTAGTTATTACATACATAGGTGTTCCAGGAAGACAATAGTTAAGCCCAAATCGAGTTAAAAAAGATCAGTGGTCCACCAGTACCTAAAAAGTTACCATGTCCTTCCTTAATAATTAAGACAAATTTATAATTTAACAAATTATGAATTTAATTCATCCATAAAAATAATTCCCTTGTAGCATGAATTTATGGACACTGTACTGTGTGATCCACAGCAATTCTTGATTATAATGTGGAAAGGAAAAATATAGGATATTTTTTCTAATCTAATTTCACCATGACAGATCCAAACTTATCTATTCCCTCATGGCCATACCATTCGGCCTTGTTCTGATGTACACCTTTTCCTACCAAAGGGACCGATTAGATTTTTCGTTTTGGGAGAATCTTGCCGAATCAGGAATTCAAGTAATTATCAACCACGTAAAATTCTGGGACACCTCGGAGTTTCTCAGTCATAATGGAACGACCCCGGACATGAGAAATGTTGACATTGGGTGGAAACTCGCCTTAACCATAGTTCACATTTGTCTCATTGTTTTCGATTATGTGTTAGCAATTCTGTTGGAAGTTTTGGTTTTTATCATGTGTTTCATTGTGTATCGGATAGATATGATTTCTACGACAGGATCACACTTGATTCGGATTCTATGAATTTGGAAAAGGTTTGGAATCTTTTTAATCGTCAAAAAGTGTGTTGTAAATTTACAGATTGGTCACACCACATGTGGAAACTTCTGAAATTGAAAATTCCCGGTGGCGGAAATTCTTAAATTTTCATATTAAAACATGTTTCCATGTGACACCAAAATTTACGACCACCCTGTACATACATTTGATGATTTTTTGTCGTGCAGCTAACCCAATGCTATAACGAAGTGAAATCCATAATGCACGAAATCAATTGGACGTTTGGATATCTGATGCTGGTTTTTATCTTGGCTGCCATCCCGTACTATGGAGTTCATATGATCGAAATCTTCAGTGGGACGTGGAACCAGAGAATTGAAACGGTTTACTTTGTCATGCTCTACAGTGTTGCGCTCCTCTTGGCGGCGGAAGGTCATCGCAAGGTGAAATATGTTTTGATTTTTATATAAATTTAAATTTTCTAAGACGTGGATAAATTCAGAGCTTTAAAATTAGTCACATTCCTAATTAATTGGTAATTGATAATTGGAAGGAAAATATTTTGTCTAATTATTTGGTAATTAGTGATTAAACTCGGGTTGCTAATTAAGCCAATTAATTAGCTAATTAAGACAATTTTTTAGCTAATTAAGCCAATTAATTAGTTAATTAATTTGAACATTGTCCAATTAATTGGTGATTTTTAGTGATTTTCTAATTAATTAGTAATTAAAATTAGCTTTGGAAGTACAAGTTGACATTAATGAGCAATTGATAATTAGTTTAAACATGCAATTTAATTAGATAATTAGCTAGATTGACTAATTAATTAGAAAGCCCTGGATAAATTGACATGTTTGTTTAGTTCCAGCAATTTTCCGAATTTATCTTCGACAATTATAAACAAATTGGGACAGGGAATCGGGAAGAGGTCTCAATTTTGATTGCGGAAGTGACAAATACGCAAATCGGGTTTAAAGGATTCGGGTTTTTCACAATATCGTATGGATTTCTCGGCAATGTGAGAACTTTTTTGGGCTAAATTTAGATAATTGATTAAATTACATAATTTTCAGGAAATATTTTTATTTTTTCAAATATTTTTCTTTTGATTATAGGTGCTTGGTCTGGTGTTGACTCATGTAATAATTATGTTGCAATTCAAAACTGCCAAGAAATATTAGAATACTACCCGCAAAAGCCAGGTAAAACCTCTGGGTATGGGTTTTAAATAGCAAAAGCTCGTCGTTTTCCTTCCCCTGGATGGTACGACCATGAGAAATTTATTTAAAAAACATTGAAGTTAATTACTTAATTTAGAAACTTAAATCATGTCATTTTAGAGAATACACACAGATACTAAAATTTTTATTACCTTAGTTCGGTTTATCGCAAGGTATATAAAGGGTGTTAATAAAGTCCGATCCCATTTTTCCTATAAAAAAGTGAAGGCTAGTATAAAAAAAACTACCCGTGATACTTACAAAAAATGTTCGACATATTTACCTTAGTATTTGGTCTTGTTACCATTTACTTTAACCATGCCCTCAACTCTTTGTTTAAGGCTCTGTGCTAATTTTTCCAATGTGTCTGTGGGAATCGAATTCCATACATCTTGAACTTTTTTTACTAGCTCTTCCCTCGTCCGGGGTTGTGGTTCTTTGTATACATTTTCCTTAAGTATGGACCACAGGTTCTCCAGGGGATTCAAATCTGGGCTGTTTCCGGGCCACACCCCCTTGCTCCAGACCGTTGAAACTTGCGTCTTGATGAGACTCAAACTCGCTTTTGCTGTATGGGCTATAGCACCATCCTGCATGAAAACTATTTTTCTTTCATTCGGAAATATTTCCTTGTTCCCCATGCTATCGAAATAGATAGGTAATATTTTTTCCATATAATACTTTGCATTGACTGTTTGGCCTTTTGGTATGATATGTAGAGGAGTCACGCCACGTGCACAAAATCCACCCGCTACCATAACTTTAAGCCCGAATTTTGGGACTACTCTTGATGGTACATCCGATTTGTTTTCTGTCCTGTAACGAACATTTTGTTGGTTCAATTTTGGATATAGCTCAATAATAGATTCGTCAGTCCAAAGGATGTGACTGCGCAATTCTTCACCAAGTCTTTTTTCACTCAAATGGCCACTTTTCTGAAGGAGTTCTCCAAATTTCAGACGGTCATCGATATTTTTTTGTGACATGAGAGGTTTTTTGGTTAGTTTGTAAGCTGTGTGACCCCACCTCATAGATTTCACAAATTTTTGCACGGTCACATAGTTAATTTGCTTCTTCTTCTCTTTATAGCGTTTTGAGTCATTTAACTCCCTTGCACAATTACGTAATGAACTACCGGTTTTCTTGTAAAGTCTGTTTTTAATCATTCTCTTTGTGGTAGGTGACACCTTTCTGGGTCGCCCGGGTCGCTTTTTGTCGTGGACAAAATTTTTGTTCTTCCATTTCCAAACAGTTCTGCGGCTGCAGCCCAATTTTTGCACAATTTCTGCAGGTTTAAACCCCTGCTGATGCAATGTTTGTATCTTAACTCTAAGATGCTCATGACTTACACGTTTAGTTGTTCCTCCCATGGTAAAAATTTGAAATAAATAACTTCACTGGTTCAAAAGTTCCAGCTGAATTTGTAACAACCGCGCTCCAAAAAATTCATGGGATCGGACTTTATTAACACCCTTTACATACATAATTGTTGTCATGATGAAAAATTACTTACAAGGGACACTCACGACCTGTCGTTTGAGTCCAGGGTACCCACCATGCTTTTTAGAATCTACTAGGACCCCAGATGAAGGATTCATTCATATTTACGTGTAAAACTCATATTTGGCGCCGTGCCGTGGCGCCAAACTTAAAAATTTGCTTTTTCGACCAATTTCAAACCCCCATAACTTTTGCAGATTATGTCGGATTTTCAAAATTTTATGCTTAAAATGATCACAAAAGTCCAAATTTATGAGAAAAAATAAAAATAAAAAATTTCTAATTTTTGAAATATTTTAGCATTTTTCCGACGAACCCTCGTTTCTAAGAAAATTACGAAATTTTGCGAAAATTTAAAAGCGAAAATTTTGGAAAAAATTTCATGGGATACGAAAGTTGAACTCCTTGTCATGATTTTTGCAAAAAATTTTGAAAATCCGCCCAGGATTTCAAAACTTATAACGGTTTCAAAAATAAAAACATTGAAATTTGGCGAATTTAGAGCCACGGCACGGCGCCAAATATGAGTTTTACACGGAAATATGAATGAATCCTTCATCTGGGGTCCTAGTAGATTTTAAAAAACATAGTGGGTACCCTGGTCTCAAACGACAGGTCATGAGTGTCCCTTGTTAGATCAGGAAATATTTCTTGACAATTTTACTGAAATTTGATTGAATAAAAGCAGTTAATCAATCATCCAGAAAAGTTTCAAATTTTCTTCCAAATTATGTAAAGTAAACTATACATACATAAGGGGAACGAAACTTTAATATTGTTCCGTTATCAAAGTATACTTTTACTAGTTTTCGCCAACCAAATATTGAATACCTCAATGATTTACATAATTAAGTATACAGACTATTTTATAATTATTTTGATCTACTTTTTATAATTTCTAATAAATTGTTTGATTCTAAAAATTACAAGGGATGGGCAATCCCAGCATTTTCGATGGATTAAAGATTAATTAAATTAAAAATTGTCATGGGATTACTGGATTGGGATTATTTTACCCCTCAAATAATGTGGATTACTTGTTGGATTACTGGGTTAAATTAATGACATGGATTACGGATTACGGATTACAGTATCAGATTACGGAGTATTATCCGGATTACAAAAATCGTAATTTGAAATTACTTCTCCAAGGTGTGAATTCTACGAGAGTGACTAACCAACTCGGTAAAACTGAAAAATTTCCTACCACAGAAATAACATTCATTCCTCTTCACACGACCGTGTACCCTTTTGAAGTGTCTGGCCACTTCATACTTGGACCAACTCGCGAACCCGCATTTCTCATTTTCGCACCAAAATTTTTTATGAGGTGGCTCCGAATTTGAGGGATGTTTCGCTATCATGTGATTCTTCAAGCTGTTGACTGACTTGAGGATTTTGTGACACTGTTGGCACTCATATTTCCTATTTTGATGATGGTTCTTAATGTGCTTCGACATCCCGTATTTCAAAACGGTGAGGGGACACAAGCGACATTTGAGGACGTGTCGAGCAGATTTGTCAAAGTGAATTAGCTAAAAAAATATGCGAATAACATGTACAGGGTGGTTAAAATGTCATGGTACAATGGAAAATTTTTCGATGGGAAACATTCCTAAATTTCCATTACGTACTAAAATTTGGTTTCTAAAATTGAAAATTTTAAGAATTTCGTCATCAGTGTTTTGATAATAATCATAAAAATCTTAATCCAAAATCTTGAGAATAGAGATTTAGAGATTTTTCCCATTAAAAAATTTTCCATTGTAGCGTGACATTTAAACCATCCTGTAAGAGTATGGTAATTCTTGATTCGATTAATTCTCAAAAAACCTATTAAGGATAAATTCCAGTCGTTAATTACAGAATTTACGTATTCATTCATACCTCATGCTTCTTTAATGAACCATCTTGTCCAAATCCTGCCCCACAAGTTTGGCACTTGTACGACTTTTCTGTCGTATGTGTGGCTGTATGGTTTTCCAGATGTTCCTTCCGCTTAAACTCCTTGCTACAGAGGGTGCACCCATATCGCACGGGATTCTCGGCGTGCTCCATGTTAAAATGTGTGACCAGATGGTTGTTGTTCAAATAGGTTTTCTCGCACCCTGGAAACCCGCAAGGAAGGCGGGGTCGTTCAATTGCCGTGTGAAATCTTTCCATATGTTTTCGCAAACTCGAAGCCGTGGTAAATTCTCCAGGGCAAATTGCACAGACAAGTTTACTCTTTCCGCTGTGCATGTAGCGAATATGGTCGTTTAGCCCGAATGAATTTTTATATATTTTACCACAAATCTGGAAGGATTTGTGAGAATGTTTACACTGCTCTGCAAAAGTCATCGCCAAACATTAACACAGTGATAACTCAAACAATGTTTAAGATAACAATTTGCAATTCTGCCGTAATAGTCAATCGCATTTCTGATGAGATAAGTCTCCAAATATTGAACATTGATTACCAGGTCAAAGGTTAAGATCTTTTGACGTCAAACCCTAAAAGCGACCTACCTCAAGGAATTTTTTTCCTTTGCGTTGTGATCTTTATAAAGTTGGCACAACTCACCCTGAACATTTTGATATGTTGATCACCTCTGTGCGATTTTGTTCACGCCCACGAGAATTTTTGGAAAAATGTAGTTTTGAAAGGTTATAAGATTGAGCTTATGGGGCAAAACTTAAAAACTGATCAAATTGTTATCTTACACATTATTGGAGTTATCACTGTGTCAATAGTTGGCGATTACTTTTGCAGGGCAGTGTATTTATTTGGAGAAATATTGATTTTTTAGCGTGTTTATGTACCAACCTCACATTTCATTTTGGCACTTGGCTTGTTAAATGTAAAATGATGTATTTATGAAATTGTTTTATGTATTTTTGTAAATTGTTGAATATGCGTGTAAGATTGCCCCGTGACGTGGTGGTTGTTGCCATGGTGACGTCAGAGTGGGATTTTGAGTGCGCGTCGTTCTTTGTTATAAGTCGTAGTAAGTAAGTAGGTAGAAGAATTCTACACAGTCGAGTTTTAGTCGTTGTCAAAGTCAGACATTTTGGATTTTAGTCGTCGTGGTAGGAAATCAAGAGTAAGAATTGTTAATTCTTTGTAATTGATGTCCACGATTAATTTGTTAATAGTAAGTCACCAATCAACTCGTGTTAATGCAGAGCTCTGAATTGTGTTGACAATTTGATAATTTGTTGAAAATAAAATCCAGTTTAAGTAGATAAAATAATCGTATATTCACTCAGTCACTTTCTTTAATTCCAACGAGCAAAGCACAATTAAATATTCAAGACACTATACACCGGGTAGGTGATAGCTTGGTTTTTACATGGCTCATGGCAGAGGAGGTGTTTTGTAAGGCGAAATTTTGTCGTGAAAGATTTTGAGCAGGTGGCACATTCCCATTTTGGGCAAAAGTTCCATCGAATTTTATTTTATTTTATGTCAATTATTTTATTGAAAATCTATTAAGAGATAGCTGTAATTATTAGTTGTTAATGTTTGAAATCTTAAAAAATTCGAAATTTGTTTAAGTAAATATATTTATGAAATGACTTACCACGATTTAGTGGATTGAGATGTTTTACTAATTTTCATTTTAGGTTATGAATTTCCCAAAAAATTCCCAAAAGTTTGAACGTTGATATCCACGTACATATCAATTTA